TTTCCAAACTGAGAGTCCAATCCTCTCTCTGTATTTGGGATAGCAAAGGGAAAACGGTGACCGAGTGGTCCTGGCGACTGGTAGGCCTCGTGCGGTTCCGAGTGAGTAAAAATCTCTCCAGAGACATGAAAGTATTGCTATAATCTTTAGTGGCTATGGGACTAGACGTAGTGTTTAACACCAATGCCGGATCTCCCCTAGAATTACACAGGATAATAAGATTCCCCTTCCAGCTAAGGGGAAAACAGAGAATGACCTGGAGCTCGAGAGTGTGGAACGATCAGATCTTTATAATAGATTAGTAGTAAGGTTGGTAGGATAATTATAATATAGCGCAATCCCCTATATATAATTTTGGTACTGCCTACATAGCGGCCACATGAGGGTTGCTCCCCACTAACGCTACTCATTTGAGAGTAGGAGTACACAGCGCTGCAGCCAAACATTTACGCGGCTGTATATACCCAGTGATATTCGTCGACTTGAGGGGGTCATGCATGATGCGTAGAGAATCCTCGTTGAATGAACCCTAACCCTGCCTATTTTTCGAGTTCAAGATCTCAGGCCTTGGCGCATTGCCTCACTACATACTCTACTCACTTCGCCAGAATCAAGGGTGATTTTGACCTGATCTTTCTTATGTAAGCCGTATTTTAAGAGTAAGAGGATGTATGTGATACGGAGATCTGGACATTATCAGGAATAGAAGGGTCGAGAATCGTGCTGTGAAGTTTTGGGGTAAGTGAATACGTACATACTAAGTATGTAGCATGTCTTTGTTTCAAGTCTGGTTGTGTGGATAATACTTGTGGATTACTAACCTACTACCTCCACAAAGAAATGTAATTTCCTGTCGTCAGAGGACAAAGAATCATTGTTATTCTTTCAAGACCGTCCACCAGTACTTACATTCAGATTCGGGAGGTATAATACCATCGACAGCTTCGTCGTTTCGTTTCCCGTGGCCGGTACACTCTGATAAACATCAAAGGGATAACTATAACCAGGCAAACACCGTTGAATAACAATCACCAACCCCAAGAGGAGCTTGAAACAGCATAGCGAAAAACAACCACCAAGAGAAAAAAGTAACAGACTTTCCTGCTCACTTCAATGGCTGCCCTTCCCGGATTTCTCCAGAACCAGTGGGATGCCCCCGTGAACCATGCGGCCTACTACCAAGATTCGAATAAAGTTGCAGCAATGCGCTACCAAAGTATATGGCCTGTAATCGAGGCTCTTGATACACCCGAATGGCTACGCACAGAAATGGATTACCATACCTATCGTTGGACACAACTGATGAGGGCATGTATACCTTTGGGGGCAATCATGCCGCGTATGTCAGGCTGAGGGGAATTGGCGGGGTACCTCCGGCACTGGAAACTAAGAGAAGGAATGAGCGGTTGCGACTGAAGAAGGCCTATAATGAGCTTGTAGCGAGCACGGTGATGCTCTACCAGAGGGTTTGCCGTTTTATCGGTAACGATCATCGGGGTAAACCCTCTAGAATGAACCGCAACTTTGACCCAGACTTTCTCCTCTGGAGTGTAAAATGGTTTGACTTGATGAAGACATACAAGTGGAAACATGCGATTATGGAGGGTAGGACTACTTATCGACGGCAATTTAGGGTTGGTCCGACTTATGTACCTCCGGAGGGGGGGACTTGGCGCGAGCTCAACAGGTTGTAGATCATTCCCGCTTATTTCAAAGAGAGGAAAAAGGTCTACAAAAGTGGACGCATGTAGCACGGCTTTGGTGGACTGTTTAGTATCTGGGCTTGGGTAGCGCGAAGTGGTTTCTGGTATTTGTTGGGGTGTTTGACTGGGACATTGCGGGTGGGGGACGGTTTGATTACGGGCTACAACCTGAATCAAGTGAGTCGACAGGCAGCAGTGCATAGCTTCATAGCTCTTTTCAAATGATGCAAGATTTAATTTCCTGGTGGGGTTTACAGGAAGGTTGCTAGTGCCATTAAAGGGGAAAACGCCTCGAGCTCCTGCGGTGTTGGTAAGATAGTCTGTTGTATGGAATTATATAATTAGTACTCCAGAAATGAGAATCGGGTACAGTAAATGGGAGCACTGCGTACATATAACAATGACAGGTTCCGTCTTTAGATTATGTGTGATATATATGTACGTTATCCCTTCCTCTCCTGTTTTTAATGATGGCCCGGGGGGTTAATTCCTAGTGTGGTTGGTGTGCCAAAAAGGGTTAGGGTGGTTGTGGCAACATCATATCATTGACTTTCAATAAAATTTACACGCGGAGCAGCAACACAACAGAGGTGAATTAGATAGTGTATTGTGTATAGATGTGATAAAGGTGTAGGTCTCAGACTTCTGGCAGATTTTCGTCGCCATCAACATTAAAGATTTTATGAAACCAGTAATGTAACGCAATTTCAGCGGGGGAAAAAATCGTTTAATATCAATATTGCAGTATAACAAAGTAGTAAAGATCTCTATGAAGGTAAATCATAGAATCTAAATTTTTAGCTAGATTTGACCTGTCAGCAATATTCATGGAGTAGCACCAGGATTTTGCCCACAAATTGCAATTCCAATGGCAATAAAGCCGATCACTCATCCTTCAGGCACATGATGATATCTGAGAAGGCCATGGATTTCGGTATATAGGTAACAGTGTGTCTAGACTCTCGTTCCTAGCCAGAACTCACCCGCCAGCAAAACTCCATACGCGGTGACTGTTTTCGAATTGAGCCCAGGCAATCTAACGGTCATATTAGACTATCGATCACCACTATGCCATGGACGCGGAAGATATTTGGAGAATCTCTCTCATTAGCGTATCCTGTTCAGGAAGTCATTAAACATTAACTTGCGAATTTTATAGCATCTCTAAATACATATTCTGGGGACTATTAATTAAAACCAGATAATTGATTACCCGGACGCTTTTACAGCCAATTCAAGACGCTGATACATGAGAGAGATTCTCCAAATGTCTTATGGGTCTAAGACATACTGTACAATACACATGATTTCTATCAATATAGCCCCAAATATGTCCCTTATTCATTCTCCCCGATGGCCTTACTTCGGCACCCAGGATATTCCAGGACCACCCCGACGAGCTTTTCCCGCTCGCTTTTGCGTACAACCTTACTAACAGATCTCTCCACATTTGATGCTTGCTCTGAAGATATTCCCAAGTAACTTTGTTGGCATATGTCTAGGTAGGGATGTGGGAAAATGTGTCGTGGCTGGCATGTCTTCGTACCAGCTATAAAAAGATCTAGAAGCGCCTGAGTGGCATATTTCTGAACGGTACAACCCGTCTAAGAGCATTGACGGATTGTAATTCTAGGTAGTGATGGCACCTGTATTAGCCATTCCCGGATGGCACGGTGTAGTGTAGAGGCTAAAAACGCAACAGCCTTCCCCGCGTGTGGCCGAGTGATATTTCATGATTCATCACTGCCGCTTTTCGGGGGCTACTTAGTTGTGGATTCATTCTGTTCGGTGGGGGTAGAGCTAGTGGATAGCGGTGCTGTGGAGGAGAGTCGTGGGTCTTCTCTAAGCTGTATGTTCTACGACGGGAGGGGGGAGGCTTGGTTAAGAAGGAGGGAAGGGCAGGCGGGGTGGGGTGTGGAGGCTGGGGTCAGGGCTATCATAACCGAGGGCGCTGGCAATCGTGAACGTGTTGTAAGTCATGTACCAGGCCGGAAGCCCGGTAGTCTTCGCTATCCCAATAAAAGGCAACTGAGCCTTGTTGCCTATCTCGAGACATTCCTCCACCACGAATACGACCGGCCTCGCCGAGTCTTGTCGTGTCTCGGGACAACATCTCGAGACACCTCACCTCATTTACACCACCCGAAAGGCGGCGTTTTTATCTAGAAAATTAATCATGTTACTCCACCCGGATTGATGCTTCCCGGAGGTGGCACCAAGCCTCTTCCACTCGGCGAAGGCTTGGCGCATTTTACAGTACGATGCCAGTCGTGAGCGTCAGGCGCGGCGTCGCCACGCCCCCCGAACCATCACGGGTACCAGCACAGCAACCACAATTGATCCTTTGGAGAGCTGAATTTTTGTATAGTTGTTAAATAGTAGATAAATAACAATGATTTGACATTTAATATCTTGTGTACCAACCCGCCGTGAAAAGGTTGTGGAAATCTGGCGGCGCGCGCGGCGTTGCGACGCCGCGCCTGACGCTCACGACTGGCATCGTACTGTACATACAAGAAATACAGTATACATTTTACATGGTCAATAACTTTTCAGCTAGACCTTAAATTGGAAATATATCTGATGGGAGTCTTCATCGTTACTATATCTACTGTTCTACCAAACGGGCCTTTGTTATTTTTTCTGGCTATGGTTGAAAAGTGATCGAAGATTGATAGTGGTTGAGTGCGCACTATGTAGTGCGATCGATATATCGCTGACGCTAGCCTTGGGCCTAGCTCTGTAGAATGATTGAGCATCGTGGAGTGCGTAGTACATGACTGCTTCACAGCTCACTTGATTTTTGCTCGTCTTTCTGCTCTAGAAGTACTCACCTCTCCCTTTGCGTTGCCGGTTTCATCTAGACGAATGTCAGAAGCTGCGCCACAGATTCCTCATCACTGATGGTCACTACACCACCTGCCACCCGCCACGCGAGTGACAGTCATCCTCTAGCTCTGGAAACACATGCTTTGTTCTTTCACCGACTTGACAGCCTGCTATTGCTCTGTAAGTGGTTGACGTGCAATACGAGGTGTGGGTGCATTTGCGAATAAATGTGCAAAAACGATAGGCGATCAAAAAGGTGTAGAAAAATCACATCAAGCGGAGCACCATACGCCCTTTGCTAAGAGATGTGAAAGGGAGCCAACCATAGCCTCCTCCTCCGCGACGCCTCCCAAAGGATATCAAAACCTTTAATGTCCGCCCACCGCTCCCTCCAACCGTTACCTTCAGGGAGAGCTCCCATCTCAAAATCAGCGACATACAATACACACATACACATCAAGATCCACAATGCACTTCCTAAACCTCCTCCCCATTGCCTTCCTCTGCATGCTCACGCGGCTTGCCGTCGCTACCCCCGCCCCACTCAGGGGCAACCTCGAGAAGCGGCAATGCAACCTAAACGGCTGCGAGTGCCTTCTCGGCAACCACCCGAGCCAGTACTGCTGGGATGCGAGTATGTCACTAAGGGGGGTAGTGACCCTAGTGTTTGACTACAGGGGATGGATATATGAGTGCGGTAAGTTGTCTCCTTTGATCAGTTTTGTGGGTGCTCATCCAGTAGACATAACGTAGGACTGCCAGAGACGTGAAGGCCTGCTGAGAAATGACTGTGAGCAAGCTCGAATGTGTACGATAAATGGTATAAAGACAACCTGACTCACATGTGTGGTGCGCCGGCTTTCCGTTGTGGTCACTTTATGAGGGCTGCATAAAGTGTGACACGAGAAGCCTGTACTTGCGGGAGACCCGATAACGTGGAGATCCGTGTAACCGTTTTAGTTTGAGGGCCAGAATATTTTTCCGTTTTATCGCAATGGGCCGCACAGCCATCAACTTCGGCGCCGTCGTCTTTATTTGGGACTTCGAATTTCCGGCGCACCGATAGGTCAAGAGTTGCGGATTCGAGGGAGGGAATTCCGATGCAAAATCTAACTCCGGCTGGAACTTCGGTGAGGCGTGGAGTTTCGCTGGGGCGTGGAGTCGCAAGCCATAGTAATAGCGCCTCCAGGCAAAGACGGAGAAGTTGTGGTATGAGCTGGTTATGCCTTGGCTTCGGCAGCAATAGCGAACCAGGAGAACATCCTGAACCACACCCGGGCGAGCATTTGCACAACACTCGGCAAGATATTGGTGATGAAGATGAGGAGCCAATCTTAGTGCCAGATGAGGGGCCACTTCCTAATCCTGCGCTGGATCCTGCGCAGAACCCTTCGGCGAATATTGCGAGGCAGCTTCTTGTAAAGAGCGGCGAGATTGAGGAGATCTCGGGGCCCCCCACAGATGCGCCAGGGCAAAGCAGTAATGGTGGTAGACTGCCGGAAATTCTTGAAGAAGTACCAGCAGATGATGGCGGAACTCATCAGCTACAAGTCTCATTGGTTTCACCAATGTTCAGTTTCTCTATGCCTTGCTGTCTCATGGTGGTCCATACTTGATGTTTCAGGAGGCTTCAGGGGAGGGTATTCACATCGCTCTGCCGATGAAAAACACTGAAGAAAACCAGAGCCAAAATATTATTGTCCTGCAGTTCGCTCGACAGGTAAGGCCGCCCACTTTCACTAATACGTAAAATCACGCTATCTCTAACTCACAGGGGATATTTCATACTGGGCATTACTAAGCGTTTTCCGCGTTTCTTCTATCAGGGCGAAATGCGAGATATTGCTCATTTTGCATGGCTTTCTTTACCTCGAGGGGATCTCCGATACAAACTTCCACCCTCGTGGTTATATTCTGCAGGGAGTTTCTGGATTCGTTGACGACCGGTCTAGCAATGCAGCGAGACGATACGGGCCAATCAGAATCGTCTTGCTAAGTAATGTATCTTAATACCTTTTATTTGCGCGGCGGACCACAGCTTCTTTTCACTGATCTAATGAGCGTGATAAGTGCATTTATGTTGTACACAGTTATACAAAGACTTAACGAGCTGGATTGCAAAGGGGTCAGTGGTCAGTTGAGGTGTCTAAGTAGAGATGCCAACTTTATGAAATGAATGAATATGGAAACACGGCAGCGTGTCGCCATCCAGCTCTCCACCACAGACTCCACTGAAGAACGACCTCACATAACTCCACAGGGCACGCGTTGATTGTGTGATAGTTTCCTGTAAGAAATGAGGAATAACAGATTCTTTTCACATGTTACATAGAGTCGCATACCTATTATATATAATCAACGCATTGAGCTTAGTAAAACTGTTAGCAATCAGGCTCTGAATTGTTACGCTTATAATAGTCTCATTTCCCCATGAAGAGCTTCAACAGATATTAGCAATCTATCTGGTTATGGTCCACAGTTATATTTCAATCCATCGACCGAATTGAAAGTCTGATGTCAACTCCTGGCAAACGTGTTCTTCAGTTTATACTATAGGACATGTTGTACTACGGGTAAGAGCTTAATTGCTCAATTTATTTTACTGAGAGATTGTTTCGAGCATTTTGCCACGCGTATATACACCACTCTTATAGGGGTCCAACAGATCTAGCTTTGAAGAGCTTTGCAGCCTCGAAATGAGATCTGTGGGTTGTTACGTCAATGGCTTAAAGATAATTCACCCAATCGTCTAGGCTCTACACAAAAAGTGCTTGGCTGGCGCGTCGTTATCATATACGCCTGCACTGATGCTTAGCTAAACCATTCAATCTTCGAATACCGAGCATTTGAGCTCAAAGACGATGTTAAGATCTCAATACAATATTACTACACTCGTTACATCGGTTCAGTTCGCATTCTAATATACATCATACTCCAAGACCCTATTGTTTAAGGACCGACGGAGAGTAGAAACCACCCTAGGAAATCCTTGAAATTTAGTGAGCGTCCTATTATCGCACTTGCGATCACTTACAATATATAGAGTAAATTTTACCCAAGTTAGCCGCGAGTGTGCAAAAGCAGCATACTCCTCAAAAAGTCGATTGAGTTTTGTGTTCGCGGAGCACAATCTCTCATTAGAAAACAGTGCCCACTACTTACACACCACACAACAGTGTATCACAGACAAGTTGAGTAATTGTGAATATCGAGATGGATATAAAATAAAAAAAGGAAGGTCTCGTATGTCTCCACTATCACAAATTTTCTAGTAGCCGCGACTCCGAATCTGAGAATACTGGATATATACTCTGGTCTATCGTCGATATTCTGTCACAGCTTACGCACATAGCCTACTATTTTAAGACATTGGTTCACCTCTACGCGGTATGTTCCTAATGTGCTTAGATTAGTAGCTCTTCTAAAAACGTGGCGCCTTTTGTAGCAGGTGCTGTGCTGCGCTCAGAGCTGTGTTATATTAGTAAGAGCACATAGAATCTTCTTCACGTCAGATCAATTAGGAGTAAAGGACGTGTCTTGGAGATTTTTCTCTGTGTTGGGTTTTCTGAGTGGTGCGCGCATGGGTGTCACGAATACTACGTGATCACTGTATGATATGCGCAGGCAAAAGTTATTATATTCGAGCAAGTACCTTGTAGAATATCTTCGTCTCAGGCCCAGCCTACATCCATTAAATATTGTGTGGAAATCATAGTCCCACACCTTGCTACAGTGACCGCCTGCTCGCAATGAGCCTCTACACAAACCCCCACCCACCAGTAGCCCCAGAGCCTCGCTTACTTTCCTGAATTCTTATCAAATTTTATATAACTACACAATTTTGAGCTAGGCTGCTTCTTACATCTATCTCGTTCATATCTGTCACGGACGTCATTCGATTTGCATCTCAATTTACCTAACATTTTCATTTCTTCGAGTCTTTCCTCGCTTCACTCGCGGTCGGCTCACTCAATACGCTGCCGCGGTCTGCATGCGACTCTTCACTGGCCGCCGCGCCACCGCTCGGCAACTCGTCAACGGAAGAGTCGCCGCGCACTCGGTTCTGCTCTCCCCGCGCTCCGTACTTCGATCCCAGTCTCAACAACACAGCCAATGCCTCTCACTAGGTTCACTCTTACGAGTCGAAACCTGAACCAGCCTCACGACTCGTGCACATTCCACTTCCCGTCCATCCGTTCCTCCCCCACAATCGCCAGCCAAAACACACTGCACAGTCTGTTTCGAGTTATCCCTCGCCCGCTCTGCAACTCGGCGGGGCCCTCAGCGGCAGAGAGTATCTCCTAGTCTGAGAGCATGTGCATAGCGCAACAGCCGCCCCTTCTCTCTTTCCATGCCCACCGCACTGTTACCCCCCCCCATTTTGTGTTGGGCCCTGTTTCTTCTTGGGGGCTTGTCTGTTGCGAGCGGGGTGGCGGTGGTGTCGGGGCAACTTGGTGCGCTGTAGAGGCCGCGGCGGCGCTCTCAGCCGTCCTTTTTTGCTCCCGTGAGGACGCGAGTTGCCGCTTTCCTCGCCAGGGCTGGTGGCGCCTTGATGGTAGCAGTTTTGAGTCTACCTGGATACATTGTTCGTGATCTCTTCTCTCTACTTTTGGTTTTATGGTTGGAGCTAGAATAGTAATGACGAGAACTTAATGAATTGGGTTTATGGATACGTAGAGTGCCGGTGGCCCTGAAGGCCCAGGAATAAAACTCACGCCATAGCATGTGGTCACTGCATTACAGTCGGTGCACTCTTCATTCGTGTGAGTCATGTAGAGACCGTCCCTCGACGCCAACATTATATACACGAGGAGGCGTCATAATAATCAATCGTGGTCACCAACAACGATGCGAGTGGACAAAGTTGACATCTTCGCACCTCTCACGCCGTCCCTAGGCTAGCTACGCTCTCGGATATCTCCACGCCCTCTCCGCTGCTCCCATACCGCCGCCCCAGTCCGCTTGAACTACTACGGTTCGCGGAGTCAGGCATCACGACCAGCTACTCGAGCATGCCTCGCCTATGCTTTCGGTGCAGCGTTGCAGAGGCAAGTGGTGTACCGGGCGGATTGCCGTCTTCGGCAGAGAAGTTCATGAGCGACACCATGCGTCAACCACGCGCTCGAATCAACTAGCCATGTTCGTGCAGCGGGTTTGCACAGCGCCTAGCTCGAGTCGAAACATGCCGCACTGCTCCGTGCCCTTGCGCAGGTAGGATGATGGAACGTTGCGCATCGCCCCTTTCCTTCCCCTGCTCGCCAGCTCGCCTGTGATGATGGACAGCGTGGTGCGAGGAAAGCCCACGTTCCGGCACGCATGCTGGCTCGCTTGGTAAGGTGTAGGCGCAAGTGAGGTTGCGTGAGAGGCACGCGTGAAGGGTTGTTGGCTTCGTACGTCTGCAGGGCCGAAAGGTTGCGCTACGTGGATAGCTTGTCTAGTGGAGAGGCGACGGCCACGCAGAGAACTCTCGCGTGGGAGGTGTAGTACGCGAAAGTGATAAAAGCCAGAGCGGAATGGCGAGCGTTGCGCGCCGCGAGGCTCTTTGCGCGCGTTGAAGTATGCGATTGCGCCGCCGGCGGCGAGGATGGATGCGGCGCCGGCGTATGCGGCGACCTTGCCCCAGCCGCCCCAGAGGCCGGCTGCGGCGGCTGCTGCTGCTGCGGGCGGGGGAGCTGGGGGTTCTCTGTAGGACTGAGAATGGGAGCGCGAGCGCGAGCCTGATGAGGAGCGGGAGGAGCGGCTCTGGGAGGAGGGGCCGGGTCGGCGCCCCGCGGCGTCGGCCTCTTTGTTTTTTTGCACTACGTTTGCGCCTTCGGAGGCGGCGCGGGATGCGAGGAGGCCGGATGCGAGGGTGGAGATCTGCGAGATTGTAGTTGATGCGGACCGAAGCTTGGTGTCGGTTCCGTACGCAAACATGGCAGGGGAGAGGCCAAGATATGGGGTGTCGAATGCGAGGATGCCTTGGATGCGGGGGAACATGAAACCAACTCCTTTGCGCTGTTTGCGGCCGTTGGGTAGGGTGATAATGTCATCATCGAGGATGGAAAGCAGGGTATCAGCTGCTACAATCCCGCCCATGGAGTGGGCTACGAGGATTGTACGGACGCTGGGCTCGAAAATTGGAGAGGGATTGCCAGCGGCGACCTCGAGGTCGAATACGCGGTTCTGTAACCTATGAGCCTGTCAGAGATATTGTATGCCTGGGGGTGGGGGATAACATGAGGGAGCCGTACCATTCCCGGAAATTTGCGACGCAGCTGGGTAGGTCTCCGCGAGTTTCGTATTGCGGGTAAACGACCGTCTTCACGCTGAGGTTGGGAAATGCGTTACTCACGAGAGCTCTGAGGTCCTATGCATATGAATCGCGCATCAGAATCTTTATACATTCATTCCATCGTAAACTGGTGGGGGAAAGAGAACTTACTCCTGGGAAGCCATCGAACGTATCATCGGTTCCCTATGATATCCACCCAATCGATTAGCCCAGTGCCTCAGACATCGGAAACTTGGGGGGAGAAAGCTTGATCGTAAAATACGCACCTTGAAGCCATGGATGAAACAGAGCAGCAAAGACCTTCTTCTCATGGTTGATTGATAGATAACGTGATATTATTTTTTTTGCTTGGTTGAGGATTCTGCGAGTGTGATCCCGTGAGGAGGCGTCAAAGTACAAAGCAGGTCAAGGTCAGTCAGTCCGCCAGCTTGCCACGCCCGAGAGGAGCTGTGGGAAAACAGAGGTAAACTCAGGGCCAGGGTTGCCAGCCATACTTAGGGCCCTTTCGCACTCTCTTTAGGGTTAGCGGGCAGAACACGTCGGCCCCTGCAGCGCTAGTGCCCCAAATTCCAATGCCCGAGACGTCTTGGTCTCCGCGATAACCGAAAATCATCTTCGATTCGGCAAAAGATGCCGATACGATTTAGTTAGCCCAGGCGAGCACCTCTCGAGTGATGGACCATGTCTCACAGACTTGTTTGGAGGTTCCCATCTAGCATCTTGGGGAAGATGATTATGTATCTATAATAATACTAGTAATTAACGGAAAAGGTATACTTGATGCAGAGCAACACATAATGCAAAATGACCTACGATCCAAATTGACAGTTCAAAACATCAGGCTCTTTTAGAAGAGTTTATCTTCTTTCACGAAATAAAGTCCGGCCTACATCATATGAGTGTCGTTCTAGGAAAACCGCCCGCACAGCCAAATCCTTATTCCGAAGAACTACACAATCAATAAGCTCCAAATTTTCCTAAAGCTCAGAGAACCTTAGCAAGAGCCCTGATTCTTCGCTCATTGGTTCCATCAATTGGAGCCTGTGGAGTGCCGTAGCGAACTAGTAAGGCCTTATTGCGTTGCCATACATGTACCTTTTGCTAGATCGGCACCCATATGATAGATATCTTAGTTACAAGTAACGACTCCCGGAATCTTGCCGTCTTCCGTTTGTTTTGCCAGCAGAACTCTAATAATACATGGGTTCGTCAATGGGTACTCCTAACAGTGCTGAATTTTGTGTTGATAGGTTACTATCAACGGCTCAAAAAGGCCCTCTAGTTCAGAATTTTAGTAATAGTTCGTCAACGGATTCTTCTAAAAGAGTACGAAGTTTTGAACTGTGTCATTTTGGGCCGCAGAAGTATGTCATTTTACATTATGTGTTACTCTGTATTAAGCGTATAGGAAAGGGTATCATTTTAGACCTTCTCCGATTAATTAATTGTTTTTAACGATACTTCTAGTGGTGCTCGCAACCAATGATAATCTTAAAGGGCAGGGGAAAAAAGAACTCGCCAATCAGACCAAGCGGTATACAATTACATTTCCTCCCCAGCCTTGACGGAAAATCTTTCCACTGACTTTGTAGTGCCCATCAATCAGCTCCTCGCAACGCCTTATAAGCTCGAAAATTTGTTTCCCTACATCGCCACAAACAGCCTGCCAACCAAAGTAGTGATCACAGACACCAATAGAAGCACTTCTTATTCCTCCAATCCTAGTGCATCTATTAACCTGGAGGGGAGCTACTCTACAGATTCTGTTTAGGCCATCGTTGTTGAAGTATTCGGCTATTCTAAAGACATCAACTGACAATGGGGAAAGCCTGTTTGTTGTGCAGACGAATTCCAAAAAGGTGACAGGTATAGTCTCCTTTTGCTTGGTAGAAGACTCACTGTCGAGAGTTCCGTCTATAGAAGAGTCTTCTATATGACCATTGGTATCTTCAATATCGCTGTCTATGTCGCTGTCCATGTCCTCTTCACTTTCATAATTGTAGTTATTTGTTCCATGAAGTTGGCCTTCCCCTGATTCGTAAATGCTATCCTCAGAGTCGACGACAGGCCCATCCTTTTCATGAACTTGGCCTTCTTCTGTCTCAAATATGTTGGTTTCCCATGATTCTGTATTATCCCTTCTCTTCCTTTGAAAGCATTCACTTTGCAGACCCTGGTAATAGTCTTCATAGGTCTTCTGCAACTGGAGCTCGTTTTCCTCACAATCGCTGCAATCTGCTTGAGCAGCCTCATCATTCTCTTCAGCTGTAGCAGTCGGTATGTATTTCTGTGACAGATTTTTCTTCCTATAGTCGTTGTATATCTTCTCTGCGCACTGATCCTCATCGAGATCCGTCAACAGTCCATCACGCCAGTCCTCACCTGCTACAGCATGGCATTCACAGTCTCTCTCGTTAATGAGCCCTTTCTCTGTATAACCGTTACAGCAATCCTTCTCATGATCTACCATCTTAGAATGGCCAGCCTTTCTCTCATCTTCTTTTTCTTCGCTCCGTTTTGACCGAAATTGTACCCTCTTTCGAGATTCGTGGCTATGAAAAGCATTTCTCTCTTGGAGGTGCTTCCTCTTAAGCTCATGGTCGTCCTTGAAGGGAAATCCATTGTCTCTTTTTGAGAAGTAACCGTAGTGTGCCTGCATGTTACCAGACGCATCGTATCCCATTCGAAAATCCCGTTGGAAATCATCGCTTACGTCCTCATCATCATCAACCCTCTTTTTTATATGCATCGTACTTCTCTTTGCACGATACTTAGCATTATAGGAGCCATCTTTCTTCAGAGGAAAGTTAGATACAGCGGGATTGCCGGTTACTGTCTCCATCTCCGGATTCCGAGGATAAAGACGGGGATGAGCCAATGCTGTTGCCGTCGTCATGAAAAGGTAGATGAGAACCAGGATTAAGATTCTCATTTTAACAGATTGATATAAGCCTTGTAGGCTTAATATTAGCTTTTTGTACAGCGTTAAAAAAAAAGATAGGATAGACCTTGCGGGGGTAGAAAAAGCTGCCGAAATAGTTGTTCGTGAGAATATTTGGTGAGTACAATTTATGTTTGTAAGTGATGGATGAGATATGGGGTAAGAGAATGGAGGAATGGATTAGGTTCTTATATAAAACCAAGATGTATATAGAGCGGACACATAGACCGATTCAAAAAGCGCATGGTATGTAGGTTTCTGAGGACAACTGTGTATGACGTGTTGCAATTTATACGAGTGACGTTACATGAAACAATCTGACATTGCGGCCATGTGTCAAAAATCTAATCTAATCTTGAATTTGATAGAATTAGGTTTTTGGATATGAGCCACACACGCCAGGAGCGAACTAAGGGACAGTTTGGCAAGGTTGGACTCTTATAGGTAGAGTACATGTAGGTTATATGTCGGAACTCAATGTCAACTACTATATGACTTGCTTTGGTATTATTACAGCAAAGAAGTTAAAGGTCAAGTTGATATAATGTAAGTAGAAGCAAACAGTTTTGATATCATTACCATTAACGTTGATCATGGACTGATATATATATATAGGTCAAAAAAAAGAGGCTACACAAAGAAATACTGTCCTTACAAAAGAAATCTAAAGAGTGTACACATCCTTCAGAGCGGGATGGAAATTATGCCATCCATTTACTCCATCACAGCCTTTTCCGCCGATACTTCGCCAGCGGTCTTCGGCACTGTCGGTTTAATCTGAACTGTCCAAGCAGGTCAGTGCAAACCGCGAACTTTCCTCCAAGTGTACTTACACTTCTGCATCATTCTCACTACAAAACTATTTTGGTCCCTTTTATTCTCCTCATTGTCAATTTTCTTTTGTAGGTCTTTATCTGGTGCAGGCCTCCTCGTTGTGTCTGTAGTCGTATTTCCATCCACTATAGCCTGTTCCTTTCTCTCGTCGTGGTGGGCCATAGTTTCCGGTAGGGCTTTATTTGCTGCATCTCGCGCGGCACGCTTTGTTTTCTTCTTGCCTTTGCGGAAGTTTCCGTATGCCTCTAGACCAACAAGTATCGCATATGATTTCGAGATTGAGACATGGGACATGTCTACACCCGCCTCCTTAAGTGACTTTACGAATTTGCGGAAATTCTATTCAGAATTAGTAGGAATCCATAAGTGTATAGGAAGAATTAACCAACAGTAGCTGGCGGTCTATAATGTCCGGATAACGGACTCAGGCTATAGCACCATCAGCAAAACATATATAATCGACTTAAATCAGTGAACCTATACCTTTTCAACCTCCCATCTTTAATCTTGATCAAACCCGCCGCACTTACTCTTGCCCCGTGCAGAAAGCTGCTATGCTGGAAAGCACCGCTTTGTTTGATCCCTACATAGAGCCTAAACGAGTTATCGGCCACAAAAATCCAAGTGTTCTTTTTCGTCGTTTTACGGAGCAATCTATTCAGAACTGTGGAGGCTGATACATGGAAAATCTTTTTCGGTCCGCTATGTTCCTGCATCTCTGGATTAATATATCGGTCCGCCCTCTCACTCTGACCCGAGTCACTCGACGAGGATGATGATGATGATGATGATGAGGATGACGATGAACTGCTAGACCCCGGGCGGCGTGCAGAAATATGGTGATTATAATGGCACCCCCCAGGTGTAGTAGGTGCATTTTCTTCTAACGGGACAATGCCATGTTTCGAATCCTGGTATTTCTCAGAGGTGTCGATACGTTCCCCATTTTTGGCCCAGCAGAGACGACCTTCCTGGTCGAACTTGACCAGATATGCTGCTCGCTCTTCTCGCGAGAGGTAACGGACTCGCTCTTTGTCTAGTTGCTCCCGAGGGCAGGCAGAGAGGTCAATATTTTTTCCGGAACCGTAATCAAGCCAGTAAAAGAAGTTTTCGTGCGTGGGCTGGGTCTGCCAGTATGCGTGATAGGCACGGAGGTTGGAGCCATAACGATGCTAGAGTGGATCAATGATATATATGCTTAGATTTCTGCATTTCTAGGGAAATACCTTTACTAAGGTCGAGTTAGTTAAGTAAAGAGGCATAGGTGAGGATAGAGGGCTTACAGTCAACCATTTCAAGGAAATACCTTCGAATCAGTGTTAACAGTTTTCTAACTCAGCAAGGAAACGATAATTCATACTGCATATCCATAGCTTTTGAGTACTCAATTCGCTCCCTTCGCTTCTGCAGCCTTTTTTGCCTCCTTTCCTCTCTTCTCTCCTCTCGAGCTTGGCTGTTCTCATCTCCATTATCACTATCGCTATCCGAGGATAGCTCATCGTCATGTTGCGCCTGTTGCCTCCTATCAATATCATTTCCTCAATGTATATATATTTAGTAACGGACCTGCTTTGCAAATAATACTGCTTTATCCCATTTCTCCTTCGATTGCGAAACCCTCCGTTTCTCACTTCCCCCTGGTCTCCCGCCGTTCTCCTCAACCGGGAGGAGTTGCGCGGGAGGCCGAGCATCGCGGGAAACTGGACGCGCGACTTGACGGTAATGCGCTTCTTTTAGCGCCTATAAATTTTAGCGTCTAACCATGCGAAGAGTGACTAGAGGAGCTACCTCATTCCATCGTTGAGTTGGTGTAAGTTGATGGCCCTTCAAATGCCGTCTTTCGCGATGGCCTCTGTAATGGCGCTGATGGTCATCAGAAGGACCAGCGTTAGAATCCATCTCAATGTTCCAAATTTAGCCCAACGGCCTTTTCTCGAAAGCTCGCCGAAGCGGACTTTAAAGGCGATTCTAGAATTTTTTTTTAATATTCCAAGAGTAAAAACGAACCTGTATCTCCACCGCAGCTCTCTCCCGTTCTTCTGCTGACGACTCTGCCCGCACTATTGGAGCAACCGTCACCATAGCTGATTCTTGTACTCGCGCAATAGGGTGTTAATAAATACGAGGATAGCTGCAATAAGAAAATTGAACAGATACGTGGTCCTCTAGAAACTATTGGAACAAAGAGCGGAGTCTTTTCGAGGGCTGAGTTCTTCCTTGTTGATTAGTTTGTTGAATCTGGGATAGCCGGATATCGAGCAACCAAGATGCTTGCGCGTCATCTAACAGACAACTTGTCGGAGAGAACCTTGGCAGATATAATCCTCTTGGCAGGGTCTGTCAGTTATTTAGGAGTTGGGTATATGTGTGCCCGGAAAGGGTGGGTGGTCCGGAATCACAGGTTAAATACGGTATTTTATGGGCTATCATAACGTTGTGTGCTCGGTTGTGGTAAATGTCCGGGAACCCTGGTTGTTGAACGGTGATCAAATGGCACAGCCAGGACTGACTGTATCTTCTTAATCATAGAATGTCACTCATACTCAGACGTACCGTTGGGTATGCGGGATGGATGGGGTGACCATAGACTTGGCTCTTGGTGGAATCACATTTAGCTACCCTAATAACGTTCAAGCTTTACATATGTCTACGCCCAACCATCAATAGGCGCAAATCCTACATACCGTAGCCCAAATCCTACAAAACTGGAATTAGTGAGATCTGAAAAAGACCTGAGCCCTCGAGTGATTCATTGTGCAATGCATCCAGAATCCGGACAGTTGTGGCGCACGGAGTTCAACGCCACAGTAGAATAATTGTGCCAAGAGGCTCCAAGACATGCCGCGTTGTCGGAGCTACGCGCCACATTCGGAACTGTTCTCCTCGCCATCCTGTATCGATAAACCTCTTTCTCAACCCCAACCCATCTACCACCCATACCCCCATCACCTCATACTCATCTCCTCTGCATCTTACACTTGAAAGAACCTTAGCCGAGATATGAATCGGGGTGGTAAACTCGCTCCCGAAGTCCAGAGAGTTCTGTTCGTGAAGAACTTGAGGTTCGTAAAGCTCTCGCTGTCCTCCCCGACCAATCTTCCTCCTCGCTGACACAAAGACAACAGCTACAACGTTTCTTCTGAGGAACTATTTGACCTCTTCGGAAAGTTCGGTCCAATCCGGTATGTGTTCTGTCTTGTTTTCAGATTCATTCATATGCTGACAGAGCGCGTCAAAGTCAAATTCGCCAAGGAATAGCAAACAACACCAAGGGAACCGCGTTTGTAGTTTACGAAGATGTTATGGACGCGAAGACAGCGTGCGACAAATTAAACGGTTTCAATTTCCAGAATCGTTACCTTGTTGGTAAGTCATTGTCATAATCCTCCCTTCTCGCGCGACGAGCGATACATAAGGAATTCCTCTGACACTGGGTGGGAATGAACAGTATTATACCATCAGCCTGAGAAGATGGCGCGTGCAGAGAACGATCTAGCGAAACGCCAGGAAAGTTTAGAAAAGCTTAAGAAACAACACGGAATCGATTAAGGTGGCTTTGGTCTGCGATGAGTCGATGCGCTCCGGGAAACAGGGTTATCGGTACAACGCAGCAACGTAAAGAAAATAACTCATTTCGATAATACTATACCTTATGTTTTCGCTTGGCATACCTGGGAAAAGGGAAAGGAAACGGAAAGGGAAAAGGGCTGTACGTCTATGGGGTGTATCTGCAGGGCTACGATTACGGGAAGGGATTTGAAGGCGTTGATTCTGATTCTTTCCGTTCTCAAATTTGTTTTTTTTATCTGCTTTTTTTTCCCACTCAATTATCTCTACTTTTGCTTTGGATTGTTCTTGGTTTTATTCTATTACTTAACCTGCAAATACTACTATATGTTCTGGGGGGTGTACGGTTCAGTAGGTACAATTACTTAACCTAAAAACATGCACGTCTCCTTTCATTTGCTACTTTTTAGTGAGTCCCAGTGTTACCGATAAGTGCATCTAGTACTGGTGTAAACCAATGACCAGAGAACAGTGACTAATGTCAACCCCATTTGATCTAGTGACAGGATATACTTAAAAGTGATGATCACATCTGCGAGAAACTCATCTCCAGCAATTTTATCTGGTGACTTTTTGCTTCCTAGGAATAAGAAAATATTCACTGATGACATCTATCTACATCTCGATTACAAAAAGGAAAATAAAGGCACATATATATAAGATATGACTACATCATCTAACATGCTTCGGATTCCAGAAGGGGAGAAAAAGAAAGAAGAAAAAAACGAATCCCCTGCTCAGCTCATATGTGTTCTCTTAATGCCTTTCCACCAATCTCCACCAATGACCGGGGGGTGCTAGGGCCAAGGACTTATTGGATCAATGTCTCCATTGAGTAATATGTATGGAAGAAAGGAAGGATGAAGGAAGAAAGTACGAGCAAGGATCGAAGCAGGGGGTGAATTTCAATGGCCACGAAATATCTAGGTATTTATCCAGGGTGATCTCCTTCCCGAGATTCCATTGGTTACAAAGTGTACTTTCTCCTCTGTCTTAATCTCATACGGTGGATCCCGGTCTCTCTCGCTTGTGCTAAGCACTCATATGCAAGGTATCAAAGACATAGGGTACTCTACTTCAGAGGTTCCGGGGATCATTATTGCATGGTGGCAAGCACGATGGCACTTTAGCTGCATTATGTACACTGCTAGTAGATTATGGAGTACATGTAGGTATATGTACTTCCAGTCACAGCTCGAAGTTTAAGGTGGGAAGAGACTTCTTACTATTACATTACGCGGCCGTGGAAGAAAAAATAAATATGAGATTAGATTTATATGATTCTAGAATATGGCCTTAACAAAAGAAATGTCGAGACCGATTACAAAGAGTGGAGAAAATCAATCAAAATAAGAACTTTTTTATATCCCAGACTCACGCCGGAGCTATCAGTAATTACCGGACAGCATTGCCCATTCCCACGTCCCATAAGAAAACCATACCCAACCCAGACCCTGAAAGAAAAACCCGGTGCATGAAAACAAAAACGGGAAAAAACAAAAAAAACAGTATTTTTTCTATCCAGTTGGATGTGATGTGATGTGTGATATGTGGTGGTGTGGTGTTTGACGTTTCGTTCCTCGACCAATCATTACCCCCCATAGTACATGCCGCGGCGATCCATGCCACTGGCGAACCACCTATAAACCGCGCCCTGTGAGGCTGTCAGAATTGAACTGTGATCCTGCAAATCAAACCTCGATGGGTAAAAATGTTCCGTACCTTGCATATCTACAACCTCACATGGCTGTGATGCTGCGAGAGAGATTTCGTCCCAACTTCACCACCAAACGGAAACGACGGGTATCGTTGTTCTGTAGGTGATGGCGGAGGAGGAGGAGGAAATGGAGAGTCTTTGATGAAACGGCTAGGAATCTTGATTGACAACTGGTTTCCTCTGGGTGACATGATTGCGGTAGATGATATTTAGCTTTCGGGGATGAGAGGGAAAGGCAGACTATATATATATATATATATATGAGGATGGATATAATGAATAACTGGTTTAATTGATCGCCGAGGTAGTTGGACTAGTAGAAGATGCTAGGTAGCTAGGCAAGATACAGTCTGAGAGATCTGATGAGGACTCAAGAGAAAGGCAGGATGAGATCTTCAAGTAAGTATTATATGCACTTCGGAAAATCAAATCTTGGGTATCTTGGACCGCCTCCGGCGCCACAGACTTGACAGCGGGTAAAAACCATTGATTGACCGCCTATCTCTCTCATCTTCGCATCGTCATCACCTGAGAAGGCAGTAATCTACAGGTTTCCCCCCCTCAGCCCCAGCTCTACGCAGGGCACAGAAGCACAGAGGGACCCCCGACGAACAAAAACCGAACGCGTTGGCCTGATGAGCATGAGTATGCACCCAAGAGAAAAAAATCCGGCCTGGATCCACAATGGTGTGCATACCAAGAGTGATAATAAGTTTTGGAAGATTCTATTTTTGAAGGTACATAACTAGAGCTGGTCTAGTTATCGAGAATATCTGGCCTATTAACTGGCATCAGATCAGATTACAATCGTCTCGCAGTAGTAGAGCACTCGCAGCGAGCTCATCGTTAATTTTCCGCCTCCGGCCCCAGCTTAGAGGTATGTAGTTGCCCGGGTGTAGTTTCCGATGTAGCATCTGGGGTCTGTATTTTTCCTAGTGCATTCCCCTTGCTTCATTACTTCTAATAGGATATATGCATATCTCAGGGTCTCTTTTCCAAGTCTGAGATATGCATATACCCTATAAGAACTAATATGGCAACGATGGCTGAGAATTTCAGTTGTGTGATGGTGTTGAAAGTTAATGTAGCGGTAATGCTCAAGCACAAACAGTTCATCACTGATTTGCGGGAGCACAAGATTCGAGACAACGGGCATCGAGATGAGACGAAAAGGGGCAAGTAAGTGGCGTGGCAGGTTGAGATGGATGGGGAGAAGACCTCTCCACAGTTCCAAAAGCTCATAAGCCACCTGTAGTTGCTAGTAGTAAATTAGGAGTGACCTCTCATTGGTCAAAGTATATAATTTTTTTTTTCCAAGCTGCGCATAAAGAATGCTGCTGGGTGAGCGGTGATGTGCTGGATCAGGTATAGGTGATCAAGCAAGTGGCCTTGCTGGCGGAGACATGAGTGGTGCCGCGTGGAATCTGGGGAAAATCTAAAAGATATTCAGGCACAGATGAGAGTTACCTTCCATTACCCACTCGGTGGCCTGTATTCTAGAATTTCTTCAGCAAAAATATGGGAAGAATACTATGGATTTCTCTCGATATAGCTCCCCGATGTCGGGAGTCTACCAAGGTGTATGAACGATGTGAAGTTTGATGCTGCCATCGAGCAAATGGTCGTATTGTGCACAAAGGAACAAAAACGTCCACCAATCCACCTATTCATCCATCATCATCTATCTCGACATCTTGTTGTTGGCCTTCCGCTGAACGGGAGGCTTCGCAAGGCAACTAGGGAAAGGATGAAGAATTCGGTAACCCACTGGAAGAGATTTAGACGAGTCCCGAGTCCGAAGAGTCGAAGCATGAGCCGGGATTGGGGTTCGAGCCAGACGCCGTGTACAGGCTAAGCGGGCGTCAGCATCGGCAGTTTATGTACGTCAAAAGCCATCACGGCATCTGCGATACGTACATACATCTCGGCCTGAAATCCGCTTCAGGTTTTACACCAACCAAACAATGGAGTCACCCATCGCTTTCTCTCCTCCTCTCACAAGAGGCTTGATAACTCTCGGGGAAGCAACAGGATATGCGATACTAGGTTGCTCGCGCTGTGCTGACTGACTACGTGCCTTTAAAATATGCGTTGTCGAGCGTTTCACGATACACCAAAGCTGTCTCGCGTCCCACTGAGTCCAACTCTATTGAACATGCTAGTGACCGACCACAGCCTGTGACCAGTCATGAGTCCAGAATCCATGCGTTTCTCTTTCTCACCCCTGCGTGATTCACGGGTCCCAGGATTTCAGGATGATGCTGTGGAGCAGGTCCCCGAAGCAAGGTAGGGTATGTGCAGAACAGGAAAGGGCAAGGCTATATGTAGATATGCTCGCGTTTCTTTATCAGGGTCCTATCAAATCTGAAGATAGATAGGCACAGCAGTATGTATTTTATATTGATTTGTACTCTGGGACGTCCCATTACTATCCTCAACTTAATCTTACGGGGTTGGTATGTCGTGCGTAAATTTCTTATTTTGCTTTTCTCGATTGTTCTCTTGTTCTTCCTTTCTGACTTCCTTTTTTTTGCTTCTTTCATTCTGGTTTGTGCCCTTCCTCTTTCGCTTCATATTATGTCTGTTTCATTCCCAGGTAATGGAAACAGCCCGTCATTATCAATTTACAGCCTATCATCTATCTTTGGACTTGTGGACCCTCTTCCACTGAACCCCACGAATACCCCAAGTCCATAAGTGGTAAACACCCTCAAGGCATTATCATTCTCCCGCTCTCGTCCCGTACTGCTCCCGCTTTTTTTACAATTCACCCTGGAAGCAGGAGGAGTTGCAGAGACTGCCGACCATGTTCCAAAGAAACAACAAATAGAAATCCCTCCCTGAGTGATTACACCATGCGATTATGAGAGAAAAAAGTCGCAGGAAAAAAAACGCCGCCTACATGTACTGAGTGCTTCCAAGTAAATGTTTGCAGAAATTCGCCCAGATTGGAATTGTATGAGGTGACGGTGGTGTGCCCCACCAACAAGCAGTAAACAACCCCTCCAAGCTGCGGCAACGACCCCTCCTCAAATCCTGTCAGTTCCACGAACGGCTATCCCCCATTCTCTCCACTTCTTTCCCCTCCACCTCTCCCCTCCATCCATTCCTCTGTCCTTCATCATCGTCAAAGGTCGAATTCTTACGAGTTCTGACTTTGCCGCCACTCACATCACAATATTTCCCCCCAATCTGCTTAACTCCGTCGCCTAGAGCATCATGTATCTCAACACCTCGAGAAAGCCCCCCAGCCGTAAAGGTTCGTATCTGTTATCTTACTTATAAACATCCCCCTTGTAAACGGAGCCAATAATTAGATCGTGAATTGAATGCTCGCTCCCCTTAAAGAAAAAAAGAAATAAAAAAGAGGTTCTCAGAGATCTTTAGAGCAATCACTGATGACCATTTCATCGGATAGGCTCTATGCACGATGTGCCCAAAGATCTGATGGACCACATCAAGGAGCTGGAGAAAATCTTTACCATTGATACTCCTAAGCTTCATGAAATTGTCGATGTTTTTGTGGAGGAGCTCAAAAAAGGTGATGATTCCCCACATCTTGAGGCGCTGTGAATCATCTGTTAATAGTTGTCTTCCAGGTTTGGCAAAGGAGGGCTCAACAATTGTAAGGCATCTGCATAGCCCACGTTTCATTCATCACCCTGCAGCGTTACAAACACCCAATGGAAACTAATTCGTTCCTGTGCCTTCATACAGCCCATGAACCCTACATGGGTTATTGGATACCCTACTGGAGACGAAACAGGAACCTACCTTGCTCTTGATATGGGTGGAACAAATCTTCGTGTATGTGAGGTTGAGCTACCCGAAGAGAAGGGGCAGTACGACATCTACCAATCTAAGTACCGCCTGCCCGAAGAGATCAAGAACGGTACTGGTGAACAGCTGTTCGACTATATCGCAGAGTGCGTCAAGCAATTTTTGATTGCCAACCACGAGGGCCAGGATATCAGCGAGCTCAAGGAGCTGCATCTCGGTTTCACTTTCTCGTATCCATGTACACAAAACGCTATTGATCATGGTATCTTGCAACGTTGGACAAAGGGCTTTGATATCGATGGTGTTGAAGGCCATGACGTCGTGCCGATGTTTGAAGCAGCTTTGGAGAGAAAGGCAGGTGATCATGGTAGAGAATGTGTTAATCTAGATACTAACCTAAGCTCTTGCAGGGTGTTCCTATCAAAATTACCGCTTTGGTGAACGATACTACCGGAACTTTGATCGCTTCTGCCTACACCGACAATACTACAAAGATTGGATGCATCTTTGGAACAGGATGCAACGCTGCTTACATGGAGGAGGTCGGTTGTATTCCCAAACTTGCACACATGAACCTTGACCCTACCCTTCCTATTGCCATCAACTGTGAATGGGGTGCGTTCGACAACGAGCACCGCGTGCTTCCTCGCACTACCTACGACATCCATATCGACAAACACTCTCCTCGCCCTGGACAGCAAACCTTCGAGAAGATGGTCGCAGGTCTCTACTTGGGCGAGATCTTCCGTTTGGTTCTCGTTGACTTGTATGCCAACCCGGATGTTAGTCTTTTCAAAGATCAAGATATCAGCGCATTGCAGGTGGAATATTCCCTCGATGCGTCTTTCCTGGCTGAGATTGAAAGGTAAGTCTAAATTCCTGTCATACACGAGTAATCCTCTAATGATGCGATAGTGATCCATGGGAAAATCTGATGGAGACCCATGCGCTCTTCGAGAAGAAGCTCAAGATCGCCCCAACGGAACCCGAGCGCAAGCTTATCCGCCGTCTTGCTGAGTTGATCGGCACCCGCGCCGCGCGTCTATCTGCCTGTGGTGTTGGAGCTATTTGCAAGATGAAGGATATCAAGTCTTGCCACGTCGGTGCTGATGGCTCTGTATTCAACAAGTACCCTAACTTTCAGCAACGAGGAGCACATGCTCTCCGTGAAATCTTCGGCTGGGACAAATCTGTGAGGAAAGATCCTATCCAGATTGTTCCTTCTGAAGATGGAAGTGGTGTTGGCGCTGCTCTGATTGCCGCCTTGACCATGAAGCGTATCAGGAGAGGTATCCATGCGGGTGTGAACGTCAAGAGAAAGAACTCTCTTATTCCCCCAATCCCTTAAGCTATCCGAGTTGAGAACCTTCTTCAATGCGAGGATCATCTAGCTTTATTCGGGACATTCTTTTTTTCTTTCTTTCTTGCTATTGATGGGTTGTTTGGAATCTGCTCGGTACATGTTTGAAGGCCAGGATTGATCGCACATTCTTTCTATTTCTTTTCTCGAATGTCTTGCTTGGGGGTTGTGAGAGTGAGCCAATAGAAGGGCTGAATGAGAGATAAGATACCCGACCAACTGCAAGTTCTTACCAGCATTTTCCAGTTTTTCTAAACCAGGTTTTGTGTACTGCCCATGCATTTGACCATCCGTCTGAGCGCTTTATTCTAGTATTGCGACTACTTGAGTGGTGTTTCTTATTTCTGCCTGTGTAAACGCCTCAATAGACGACGAGCTCTCTTCGCTTCATGGAAACAATTAATGGTTGTGCAATCATTACCAATTTCAGAAAATAGTTTATGCATGAATCCGGGATGACGTAGGTGTCGCCTGAGGTGCACATGCCGGTTTGGACCAGGGTCAGCTAAGCCGTGATTGCGGCATCTCCCGAGAAACCATCCGAGTGAGAGATTATGATTTGCAGACCCAAGTGAGACCTGAACATACAGAGCGTTAAGTAATCCCGGTACGCGCCCTATCCTAGACATAAATACATAATAACCGATAAATTTTCTAACTAATCTACCAGATGGGATGAATCTCGTCAAATATTCCAACGGTCATGACGTCATAAAATCTTTCTTTGCGAACGTGCGCCTTCTGTCATAAAAAAAATATAATACCCCAATGCATACATGTATGACTCAAATATATTGAAGTGTATAGGAAACTAAATACTATGGGGCTGACTTTACGAAGTATATGCTCACGTGTGATGTTAAAACTGAGTGTTTGGCCACGGCATCCATTCAGCTGGGGGCTTATGCAGTGGAACAAACGTAGTTCAGCACGCACGGTACAAACCATGTATATGCAAATCTTACATGCAATCGGAGAAATAGAAGTCAGTAAAGAACCTTCCACTACAGTCGTGGCCGTGTTTCGATTTTCACTAATGTATCTACGGGAAGTATAGTACATGGGGCGGGAGAAAAATGTGGACGATAATATCATTGGCTTAGGTACATATTGACGAGTGATATGCCGTGATTGGGGATGCTCTTCCTCCCCGTGGAAAAGTGGCAATGAGAATGAGCATCGGACGGGAGATTTTTTTTTCCCCCTCGAAAAATGCCCCCCCCCCCCGGGGATGCTTCCGGCGCATGATCCTTGTTTCTAAAAGGACACGTGAGAAGGGGTTTTCTCAAACGTGATTGCCTGATAATTGTCTGCTAGAGCGGTAGCGATCTTTGTGGCAAGAAAGATTGATTCGAGGGCTTATGCCCCAATAGAATCCGTAATTACGGTTTACGTACTCCTATGGCCGGAATCATTCCGTATTCGTTGCGCTTACTCACTAGATTCGGCACAATGCGGAGTAGCTATATCGAATTCTCCCTTTTGAGGGATTATCATTGTCACTGGAATGTCTGGCCCTGACAAATTGCAGTTAATCAACACATCTTCTTTGGACCAAAAACACTTAAATAACAAGCCTCGTTAATGGAGTGGTGTACCTTCGTTAAATTGGATGGAAGAGTAATGCTTAAATGCAGATGTACAGTGACTGGGTTTTGACCCCCCACCGAGCCGTAATTCAAATTTACTTACCCACATGGTGGGATTTCTATGGGCAAATTGATTGAATGAACCCCAGGAGTTTAAACCCCGCTTACCTCCACACCCTTTACTGCGGGTGGCATAGTTACATGTACCGCCCGGCCCTCCAGTTAGCATCAATCTTATTAAGATGGAAGATGGTGCCTCCTATGCTCGGAAACTGGCCGATGAGTAGTAGGGCGAAAGCTTGCCCTCCAATCCATCATTAGCGCATCGAGGGGTTGTTTCCTTGCCCTTGCTAGCCTCGCTAACGATTGCATCGAGAATATCAACACGTCTAGCAGTTTCTTCGAGTCACGAGTGGCTGTACGTAGATAATTCCAAACAGAAGCCAGCTCACGGTCGAAATAATTATTTTGAGTGGCGTCGTGAGGGAGTTGTTGCGGCAGGGAATTATATCGTTGCAGTGTTTCTAGGCTTCAATGGTTGAAAGTACTTGAGCGGTGGTTAATTGTAATCAAGCCACAGAGGCATGTATGGAGAGGTTTGACTATCTGTTCATAAGAGTTCTGCTCGTTTGTGGTGATCCAATCAAAAGATCTCCTGAGGTGTACTTTTGAAACATTGCCGCCCCATCATGCACTACGGCTCTTTTTTTCTTTTCAAACCCCTGAAAAACACATTCCTGGTTAAATATCGATGCACATATAGTTTAAAACTAACATTGCATTGCATAAAGTACGGCTCATGAGCCCCTACCAAGCCATTGGGTTAGGGTTCCTACGCTAGTTGAGCCAGCCCATATTTGTTTGTTCGAAATTTTCTTATCATTTTGTCTCAGATGAAGTGTTTTAGTCGGTTGCAAATTGTACTGTGGAGGGACTCGGGCTAAATGGTGGCTAGGATTTTCTCACCGCGGAGGCTTGGAGTGGATTGGTGAAGGAACAGGTTATTCATGAATGATCACTCGGTGAGTGGGGATTAGTGAGGAGTTAGTGGGGGCTTCTCTTCTGTTTCCCCTCCCTTATCGATTATTTTTAACTCGCTGATTGCACCCCTCCTATCAAACTCACAAGGTAAGGAGGGATTTATTCGATGGTGGCTCTAATATTGAGGAATTATTAATTTACTCTTCTTTCTTCTTTTCATTCTGCAGGCCAGCTACATGCCCTTATCCCTAAAGAATAACGTAGAGGTTCTTGCCTATGAACCCCTCCCACACCCCCTTCCTAACCAGACACACAGAATGATCGTAATAGATAACATAAAAAGAAATAATTAAGATAAAATAACACATATTACACTCCATATGTAACGAAATGAAATCAAAAATTAGCATATCAGATTAGGCCGGTGTCGGTCCGAGTTTCCCCGTCCACTCCGTTTGCAGATCCCCCAGGGACACAGTGCTAAAATTAATCGCGATAAACTCTGCTGTTTTTCCTGCTGCTAAAGGAACTGTAAGATCTAATGAGGATGACAGAGCTGTTGTAGCTGCTGTTGCGATAGTAGTAATCTCGGCAGCTGTTAATACGCTCGTATCCAAGACCAAACTCTCTGCAATAGACGACACCGGGTCCGCAATAAGGATTGACGTCGGATCAATAGCACTGATAAAACCGGTTCTGACTACAGTTGTCATCGTCGACTCTGCCTGTGTGGGTATTGCTGGGAGACCTGGAGGATTGATGGCTTCGGCGACCTTGAAAGCAGCCGCCGGGCATAAACACTGGCAAGCGCACGCTGCGCCAGGGACGGCAGTACCTGTTACTACAGCGGCCGTAGTTGTGGCTAGTTCTGTTGCTGCTGCTGCTGTAGTAGTAGCGGCGGTTCCGTTCAGTGCGATGGCAGCGTCTTGGAATGCCTTGAATGTTTTCTCGGCAGTTGGGTTAATGGCAAATACCATTCCCTTCCCACAGTGGGTAGTTTGTGCACAATACCACCAAGTCGGCTCAGTAGCTGTAACTGTGTAATCAAATGTTGGCGCGGGAGTAATCGTGTCATTAATATTACTCATAAATCCTGAGTCGATTCCCTCAGCGGATATCTTATTGCATGGAGCGCCAAATGTGGACTGAGTAGCTGTATGGTTCTGCTTCATGAATACGAAGTGTACTACATCGCCGACCGCAGCAATAATCTCCGAAGGAGTATAAACAAGGCCTGACTCTCCACCAACAATTATATTATGGGTCGCGGCGGCGGCGACAGCTGAGGTTGAGCTTGCAGCAGCAGGAGGGGAACTTAGTGTTCCGTTTAGGGCGATAGCGGCATCTCGAAATGCCCCGAACGTCTTTTCACAGGTTGGATTTATGGCAAATACCATCCCCTTTCCACAGTGGGTACTTTGTGCGCAATACCACCACGTGGGGTCTTTCGAAGTAACGGTGTAGTTCCAAACGGGTGCAGGAACGACTGTGTTGTTGATGTTACTCAGGAAGCCAGAATCGGCTGCGTCAATTGCCATTTTGTTACATGGAGCGCCAAAGGTGGATTGAGTCACTGTGTGGTTCTGTTTCAAAAAAACAAAACTGACAATGTCACCGACCTCAGCAATGATTTCTGAGGGGGTGTAGATAAGACCCGCGTCGCCTCCGACTATAACGGTGTGCGTAGCTCCGCCAGTTGGTGTCGGGCATACAGTTGTGGTAATACTAACAACCTTATAAATTGTTGAAAACTCTGCGGCCGACTGAGTTTCCGTGGTGATGAGTGTTTCCTGATGGACGCAATTTATTAGCGAGTGATAATCCATGAAGTGAAAGTAAGAGCTTACTGTCGCAACGCTGGCCACAGTCTCGGTCAGGACAGTGCTCAAGACCTGAGTTTCCGTTGCAAGTTTTGTCTCAGTTGCGATACTGTGAATGACCTTTGTCGCTGTTTCGGTCAAGATCTTATCCACTGTAGCGATAGCAGTGGCTGTTGCGATGCTATGGACGGTCTCCGTAGTAACACTGTTAACTACCTTAGTTTCAGTGGCCAGCCTTGTTTCCGTGGCTATGCTATGAATGATCTGAGTTTCGGTAGCTAACTCAGTCTCAGTAGCAATACTTTGAATAACCTCAGTCGATACTCTGTCGAGTGTGGCAATACTGTGAACGGTCTCAGTTGCAATGCTGTTAACAACCTTCGTCTCAGTCGCCAACTTTGTCTCCGTGGCTATGCTGTGAATGATCTGAGTTTCGGTAGCTAACTTAGTCTCAGTAGCAATACTTTGAATAACCTCAGTCGATACTCTGTCGACTGTGGCAGTGCTGTGAACGGTCTCAGTTGCAATGCTGTTAACAACCTTCGTCTCAGTCGCCAACTTTGTCTCCGTGGCAATGCTATGAATGATCTGAACCTGGGTTTCTGTCGCCAATTCTGTCGCAGTATAAATCTGGGTCTCTATCGCAACACTATGAATAACCTGCGTTGCCGTCTCTGTAGACACACTTTCAACCACTTTCGTCTCTGTAGCAACACTATGAATAACTCGTGTCGCCGTCTCCGTTTTAAGACTCTCAATCACCTTCGTCTCCGTAGCAAGCTTAGTCTCCGTAGCTAGCTCCGTCTCAATCCTATGAACCACCTCCGTCACGGTCTCCGTCGCCGTCTTCTCTTGCGTCAAGATCTCCGTCTGCACGATGTGAGAAATCTGCACTTCTGTCTTCGTCTCCACCGCTGTCTCCGTCACCTTCACTTCAACAGTCTTCAAGTCCGTTTGGGTGACAAGTTTCTCAACCGGAACAGCCAACTCAATAGTATGCTACCCAATCAACCCCACGTTTCAAGTTAATAATCCCCCTTATCTTTGCTTTTTTAATGCGACAGGGGCCAGATGAAACTAACCAAAAGTGTTTCGGTAGCAGATTCTGTTACAGTCACGTGAACTGGTGGAAGGGTTTCAATAACCTGTTTTATCGTGGTTAGTGGATGTGGGGGTATGTGATAATTGCGGGTTATTTACGGTGTTGTGGATTGTCACATGCTGTGTCTCCGTTATAGGCTGTGTTCTGTTTCGTGTTTCGACGGTTAGACTTTTGTTTTTCTCTAATAGTAGAGTGATTGCATGCATTAGTAGAAGATATTAAAAATATACTTACTCAGTAACGTGCATAACTTCTGTTGAGACATCTGTAACATGCAATGTCCTAAAAGATGGTGGTTAGTTGGATTAACTTCCAAAGAATTAAGAGTACTCACTCAGTAACATGCACCTGTACTTGTTCAGTAACGTGTATAACCTTAGTGGAAACATCAGTGGCATGTAATGTCCTATAACAGTCAACAACCGACTCAATTCAATCTTAGGCTTTACTCACTCAGTAACATGCACTTGGACTTTCTCCGTCTGTACCACTGTCACCACAATTGCCGCCGCACCATTACTATCAGCCTGTGGCTGTCCCCGTTCTAATAATATGCTGTCGTTCGCTTTTGATTGGTTTGGTTCTGTCGCCCGTACTGCTACTGCTACTAGTTGCAGTACTGCAGCGAGGAAATTGAAAATTTTCATAGGATAAATTGATGTGTCAAGAATGGATAGATGCACAATAGATGAATTAATAAACAGATCCTCTCCTGGAGGTGTAAATGTCTAGATGCTTAGTTAGTGTGCGCGGTTAAGCTAAAAGGCATACGTAATACATATGGAGATAGACGGAACAACGAACATTAAAATTTGTATAGCCCGGGCTTTAGTCAGTAGTTGAATGTAAAGCGCATGCGCCAGAGATTGATAGTGATAAAGGAATGAAAGCTGACGACTTCGTCGACAGAAAAGAAACGTTCAAAGATAGAAGTGTAAAACGTGGATGATCATGAGAATTAAAATCAGAGGGGATAGAAAGAAAGAAGTAAGTAAGATCAAAAAAAGGGGGTGGGGGGGACACTTCATAACAAAAGCCGTTATTGTACAAATGCTCAAACTCCAAATCTCATAGAACAGGACTTGTCATTAGAGTCAGGAATATGTGTCGGTATGAGTCGTTATCTGTATCATCAAAGTCTGAACCTTTCACACTACAGTTCACATAAACTCACTTGCCCGGGTTCCCCCTGAGGTAAAGTTTTCACATCGTGATGTAAAAGTTCTCGAGCAACAACCAACTTTCTCTCAATTGGTATGTGTGTAACCAGGCCTCATGAAACACATAGTGTTTTGGCATAGAGGGATAAATCCCACATAACTGTGCGCATACCCCGTCACAGAGAACAATCCGTTGTAAAAGAGTTTCCGACAAGGAAGGTCCTCCTTCAGAGTATGTAGGCCATGCACATATCGTACGATTCAAACTCCATGGAGGAATAAGGTTAAAGGTTAAGCACTCATCCATGCAAGCTGGTTGCCCTGTGCAAACCCAGAGGGAAGGCTGATGTGGGTTGCACTGCAATCTATGATCATGAGAGCTGTGAAATCGAAGGATGATGCCGCTTATCACGGATTGGCGCTCGTCCGTATCCCCAGTTCCAAGTTGGAAAACTCGATGTATCTGTTTCTAAAGACTTAGTAAACTCTTGGCAGAACAATATGCGGGCGCTATTAACGGAAACGGGTTTATCGAGATGCAAGCAGGGGTTCCTATCGGACTAGTCTTCGCCATGTGAGTAGGAGGGATTTCTCCCTACGGTTGTCTCCGTCGTCTCACAGCACAATGATTTCAGAATTACGATAAAGAAACAAGAGACCTAAAGACATGATCGAACGAGAGGTAAAAAAGCTGAAAACTCTAACTAAATGAGTCTCTACTTGTAGTAATAGATAGACGTCACAGAGAGCGGCTGCCAAGCCTGTCAACCATGTGGGAAGTCGCTCAACTTGACTCAATCCAGGGTAAGGGTTTTGAATGAGGCTGAGATTAGTAAACCCCTCAAACGGGACACACGGCAGCTCTTGGTTCCACCACCTTTGAGCTTCCCCGCAGTCTCTGACGCCGGCTTTGAAGCCGTACTAGCACTTCTCCAAGGACTTTTGAAGTTGTTTGTAGCAATTTTACAAAGGCAGTTGCAGCTCTAAACTTCCTCTCGTCCTCGGTAGTAAATCGGATGTTAACTCGTACGATCAACGTTATGCTGTCTCTCCTGTTCACCGACCCTTTGGACCGTGGGCTGGTACTACAATAAGAGCCACCCATGACCCGGCACGCAGAAAATCCGAGATCGCGAGCAGTGAGAATGCTTGTCTGAGGTGCAGAGAGTACAGGTGATACACCGTCAAAAGCCTCCGTAGGGCTTATGTTGTCTCGCCACTCGAGCGAGAGCATCTATCGATGCTGTGTCTAGTCAATTATTAGAGCTTTATGCGGGTTGTGATTGGCCGAGTTAGGGATCATATACTACCGCCATATGCGGTTGATCACCCCACGCCGCAGATGCCCCTCCAGAAGCGGACTACAGTGCGTCATTGTTACTGAAAAATAGCGGCATAGATGGACCCAGGAGTATACGTACTCTAACAGGTGCAATCTGTAGCATCAGGAGCTTTCACTTAGGAACGACAGGCCACATGAAATAGATCCCCTTTCTAATTTATAAAGAAGTTGATTCTTCCTGCTCGTTACTCTCTTTGTTCTTAAGTTCCTCAGCTTGTAGACCTCTATCGAATCTACTACTATCCCCTTTCAATTTCAATTTTTTTCCCCCAAACTTGACTCCTAAACCAATCAATACTATCAACAATGGCCGGACAAATCCCAGAGATGCAATGGGCTCAAGTGTTCGAGAAGAACAATGGCCCCATCGAATACAAGCAGATTCCTGTTCCAAAGCCAGGTCCTGATGAGGTTTTAGTAAACATTAAATACACCGGTGTTTGCCATACCGATCTTCACGTAAGGCACATTAAGCATCATCGCTCACCAGCAGAAGAATACTGATAGATATCTACGCATAGGCATGGAAGGGCGATTGGCCGTTGGCTGAGAAGTTGCCTCTTGTTGGTGGTCACGAAGGTTTGTCTTCACCTAGTCTATAGCTCTTAGTAGTCGGGACTAGCGCCAACTAATGCAAAACAGGTGCTGGGGTTGTCGTCGCAGTTGGGGAACTCGTCAATGATATTAAGGTTGGTGACCACGCCGGTATCAAGTGGCTCAATGGCAGCTGTGGGGCTTGTGACTTCTGTAAGTGCCAGAAATTTCCAAAAGGTTATCCACCACGATTTAACTCCTGACACGCACTTGCAAATAGGCATGGCCTCCGACGAGCCTCTCTGTGGACAGGCATTACTGTCTGGATACACTGTTGACGGTACATTCCAACAATACTGCATTGGCAAGGCCGCCCATGTAGCCCGTATCCCTAAAGAAGTCAAACTTGATGCCATTGCCCCAGTTCTTTGTGCCGGTATCACTGTAAGTCATCAGAGATCTCGTGGAGAAGTTTCTATACACTGACTCTGTCAGGTCTATAAAGCGCTTAAGGAATCTGGTGCCCGCTCAGGTAACACTGTAGCTATTACTGGTGCCGGTGGTGGACTTGGATCCCTTGCCTGTCAGTATGCCAAAGCTATGGGTTTCCGTGTCCTCGCCATCGATGGCGGCGACGAAAAGAAGGATATGTGCCTTAACAAGCTCGGCGCCGAGGAATTTGTCGACTTCACAAAACAGGATGTTGTCGCCACAGTCAAGGACCTTACCGGCGGGCTTGGAGCTCATGCTGTTATTCTGCTCGCTGTGAGCGAGAAGCCATTCCAGCAGGCAACTGAGTATTGTCGTAGCCGTGGTACAGTGGTTTGTGTTGGCCTTCCGGCAAAGGCGAGAATCAGTGCAGAGGTCTTCCCGACTGTGGTTAGAATGATCACAATCAAGGGGTCTTACGTTGGCAACCGTCTTGACACACAGGAGGCGATTGACTTCTTTAAGAGAGGACTTATCAATGCTCCTTTCAAGACTGCGAAGTTGAGCGAGTTGACTGAGATCTTCAAGCTTATGGAGGAAGGAAAGATTGTCGGAAGATATGTTCTAGATTGCAGCGTGAGCTTCCCTCAACTTAGTACATGGAGGTATTGACCTACAACTGACATTAAACAGGCATAAACGAATAAGATCGATAGGAAATATACTAAATGTATGGGCTTTGAGTTTGGTGTTTTATTTGGCGGGTCGGCGGTTTGGGGCGTGATTGATGATTTTTTTCTTTCTGTTTCTTATCTTTTATGTGTTTATCATGCGAGGGATAGCCTATTATCTTAGGCTTACTACACGCGGTGAGGTGCAATCTCCACTACCATACATGTACTTGAGAATTTAGTACCCAAAGGGGGATTGAAATACCTAGATACTGTAATAGTGCTATGCAATTACGAGAATCCCATAGCAATAGTGCGGCAAAACCGAAACCGAACAATAATCTCTTTCTAGGATATTACAACAATAGAACCAATTGCAACCGCAATTACGTGTGGTCAAACGTTGAATAGATATAGCCATATGGAGTGATCGTGAAGCATGCATGCATGTATCTGTGATAGACTAGGAGCTCTTGGTTTGGACTGGGTCATATCTTACGACTTTGGGCGAGCTTTCTTTCGAAAACTCTAGGCCTATATATGGAACTCGTTTGAGGATTCGGCATAATCTCTTAGCTGTATACGTACTCAAGCTTTGCTTTGAGTTACAATGGATACTAGACATACGATACAATAAGCCAGAAACACCCTTCCTGATAATAGATCAGCTGATTATTCGATCACGAGGATTCTTACTTAGGTTATACTGACATATATATCTCTCTCAGAAATCTTGATAGTTGTTCCTCCCTCCTATCCTGTCCTTGATTAGACACTTGCGTTGGGAAAAAATATTGAGTTTAAGTATAAGGGTTGAAGTCAAGCCAACCAATTAGCGCTCTGCATTTCTTAGGTGGCTAGAAGATCGATCTGTACCTGCATCGAATTTCTAGATCAAAATTCTCCGGCCCGGTACGATTCGTTTCACCTGGCTGGCGGGTGGTGTAGAATTTTCTGGATTTCTGGGCGTCCGCGAGTTTTTTTTTCCTGGCTGGTGGCCAACAAGGGACACATACGGTACGGCCCGAAATTGGAAGTTCCCCCGGCCATGACAGGCCATGGTGGCGTGAGCGCAACGCTGTCGGAAAAGAGAAGTTATCTAATCTGGAGTAATGACTTCAAGTGTTCATGAATATGATGATATATCGCGGAAAGCCCATCTCCTGGTAGCAATATAGGCATATGGGCGGCCATAGTATGACTTCGGAACGAAATCCTATATTCGGCCTCCGCTTTGAAGAAATTTTCATAACTTATGACATTAACTGTAGAGACTACATTGTAGGAGATCAATAATCCGCCGGCCTAGCATAAAAGAAACGCTAGAGTTACGTATAAAAACTAGATCATTGCAACACCGAGAAACAATTAAACGGCTCGAATTCAGTCTCCGGCTTCACTACTCATGTATGAGGTGCTACTTCAACTGGATATAATTTCACAAAGCCACCGGCTATCATTGCCATGAGTACTTACATGTATCCATCTGGCCGGCCGATGTTGAGTTAGGAAGGGGGTTACTAGGGGTTAGGGTTAAAGCATCTCTGAGCCCTAATCCCTACTATTGCCTTTTTTGACTGCCTTCAAAATTATCATTGTCACCATGTCAAGAGAAACTGTCTTTTGAAAAATTGCCATAAATTAATCCCAATACCTAATCTATCGAGTCAATATATGTACATACTTTAAATCTCCGAATCTTATGGTAGGAAGAAGCTGACATTAAATACTTTATCAAGAACGTTCATAAAACGCTGTATACATGTATGTATAGAGAGCCCAACACGATGCGCGATAAATCGGCTTTCTTTAAATTATAAGAGTAGTGACTCGGAATATAATTACAGTGTGCTGTAGTCTCTCCACCGCCCCTCTCGGGACCGCAGTTAATCACCAGCCATTGGGCAAAAAAAAAAAAGAAAGATAAAAAAAAAAAAAAAGAAGATAAAAAAAAAAATGAAAGAAGTGAAAGAAGTGAAAGAAAAGTACAAGATAGAAATTTGGTATTGGGATTAATTCTCCTAACTGTACGTTGATTGGTGGGTACAGATGAGAGCGTTGGAACCAATATACCTATCCAATTGTTCGGACTCAATCTCTGATATGAGATATTAGTCCTTCACGACCCTTCTCCTGCTTGAGCGTCTGCCTGCTGCAGAACCCTTGGCCTTGGCCTTTCCTTTTCCTTTTCCCTTTCCCATCGACTCCTCCGACTCCTCCGCCTCTTCCTGTTCCTCCTCCTCCCTCGCCTTCCTCTTGCTCGCAGCCTTCATCGCCCTGGAGTCCTCGTAGATATTCCCCAGGCTCAAATCGGTCCTGAGATACCCCTGCCAGTTACGATCCTTGACGAAGCACCATCCGGCCTCCATCTCCCCTTCATCCACCATGAGCCTTAGGTAGTCGTCCCTCCATTGCTTAGAGGCAGTGCTCATGAATGCAAATGCCTTGAGATTCGCCTCCGGGTCCGGCCCACAGATGATTCTCTGGAAGCGCTGGGCGGTCAACTGAGGGTTACCCTCAGCGTATTGCATAAACGCATTAAAGACCGGAGATGCTGCAATTTTTGCTGGGGTGCTGGAGGCCTCGTGAGGGAAGGCGACATACTTGTAGGTGGTGTGGTCCAGGAGGCCGCCTGGGCCAGCGTCAGGCTCAGACTCCCAGGGGACGTAGCCGAGCTTAGACAAAATAGCAGATTCGCTAATGATGGGATCTGCCGCGGTCGCTTCGATTGCCATTTTGTGGGTGTGGTGTGGGTGTGGGGGGTGTTAATGTGGTGTCTTGTGTGTCTAGTGTGACTTGCGCGTAGGTGAGGTGGAAATGATCGGTTGGGAAGTGTGATTTTTGTGGCTGTGAATGCGATATTGTAGTGTTGACTCTTGACGAGTGGAGGGGGAAGCTGCTGCGAAGTCGATTTCGTCACGTCATAAAGGTGGGGGAAGGATCGTATATTGTCGTTGTGTGTGAGTGAGGTAGTAGGCTTTCTTGCTTTCCTCGTTAGAAAGCTGCTCTATGTAACGAACGCGCCCTGGGTAGGCTTAGGTTGATGGAGTCACGTGAATGTTAGGCCCGCGTTGGGTGACTAAGTGTTTATTAATATCTATCAGCCACTAGAGTGTTCTTGGAGATTCAGTGGAAATGATTGTTTCGATGAGACGATTTTATATTATTAACATAACTCCAGACGTAATTTCTTGGAAACTAACTTTAAGGGAACTGATCCTCGATAGACAGAGATTGGTTTAGGCCCTAGAATATTCTTAAATAGCTCTAAATATTCATTTTTATTGATGCGATGGGCATATGGGGTTAATTAATTCTTTATATCACACAATGACTACATGTACATACCTGTATCTCATTATAAGATGTCTTCCGAACTACTCAAGACTTATTTTCAGCCCTTTTTCCTGTCATTGTTTCTGGATACGTGTCTTTTATGTGTGAAGCTATGTGTTATGCCAAGTAAGACATTGCAAAAGTGGTTGACCGTACCCTCTGAATAGCATATAATGCGGTACCCCTCATATATCACAGTATCTATACCGTCATAGTAGGGGACCCGGCATATACCCGTGTTTTTCTTTCTTTCTTTCTTTCTTTCCTCGTTTAATTCATTAATTGCATCATATACGTGGGTATATGTACCTAGGATAGAATAAAAGTCCAGATTTCATTAGCGAATTCGGCATTCTCAAACGAGGCCGCATCCTGTTTTCCTCTGTGGTGCACGTTTATCAAGATGTCGTTATTGAAACGTCAGATATGTAAGTACATGTACATGTACGTATGTCGTGTCGAGTGGTGTATATATTTATAACAAGTGTGTGTTTGCGGTTTGGTCGGTGGTGGTAGATTTGTCTATACAGAACTGAACCGTAAACTGCATCTTGTATCGTGTTCTAATAAAGGCATACATGTGCTCAGGTATAAGTGCACAGCGTAATTTATGACTAACTTGATGAACTGCATGCAATCTATCAGCACGTGTACGTGACCTACGGGGACTGTGTATGAAGAGGTATTGCTTTGGTTTAGTAAAGAGAGATTGTTGACAAGATGTAATGTAATTCGAATTCATTGGCCTTGCCTAGCTTCAGGTTGACAATTCCTATTTACCCGAAATGGCGGTAAGCTCACGGACATGCAATATTGGGCCTTACCAGTATAATTATATATAATCTAGGCTATTAATCTAGCCCCATCATTAGCGAATCTAATAACACTAGTATGAATAAATTTCCAAAGAGAATAGCTTAGGTATTCGGAGAAGTTTGTGGGTAATATCAAGATGTCTAGATCGCCGCAGGAGAGACGGTAAGCAGCAGAATCAAACAACAAAGTAATCCACCTTATGTATCAGACTCACCAGCATTACCCGGACGATATATATGTGAGTTTCTGCCATAATGATGTTTACTTCTAATCTCAGCCTCTTGAGCATTATTCATACACCACCGCCAAGCCATCCTCCAAACTTCCCCACCGGAAACGTTTTAAGCAATACATACCGTAGCCTTGTATGTTTACGAATTGAGCTGAAAGACTCAAGCGTTGCTTCTTTATCCGTCGTTCGCTGCTGCTATCTGCACGTTCGACTCATTAATTCTAGGCTTCCAACCCAACCCCACACTAACCAGTAACAGCAGGGAGGCTTTGCGCGGGGCTCACTGTTTGGCGGGCTTGGCAAGGAATAAGCAACAAGCTCTCGCCTTACTCGAGAGCAAGTGGGACAGTGCACTTAAGGTGAGAGGATACATTCAACCATCCCATCTCTCACAACTCCAGTAGCAGCAACACAGCAAACCTTCACCCAAAGCTTCATCTCGTCCATTTACAATTTCCCCCTTTCCCCCCACCAACACCCCCCACCTTTTCTCCCCTTCGCCGCAACATTAGATAGAAATCATGAACCGCACCCGTGGCAAGATTCGGCCTCCTCGAAGAGTAAGTTCCTCGTCCTTCCATTCCTCGTTCCCATCCATTATACTCACAACCGATTTACCTAGGGCCTCGCGACTGATCCTGTTGACTTCGACGAATACTGGGACACCCTCGCCCAATCGCTGCGCGAGATCCACGCCAAAAACGCCTCCCGATTATCGTTTGAAGAACTCTACCGCAACGCCTACAAACTAGTTCTCAAGAAGCACGGCGAGAAGCTGTACGCGAATGTTAAACAGCTAGTAGTCGAACACCTCAAGGTTGTCGCAGTACGGGATGTACGGCCACTGGTGCCTAGCGCCATTGTCACAGGTGGCGCGGCGTTCGGGACGGCAAGCAGTGTGGAAAAGAGGATTGGGGGGGATAAGTTTTTGGATCGGCTGAAGGTGGTGTGGGAAGACCACCAGCTGTGTATGGGCATGATGAAGGATGTGTTGATGTATATGGTTTGCGATACTCCTCTACTTTCATGCTCTTCCGGGAATGCCGCGGGAATGCTGATTTAATGTGGTTGCAGGATCGTGTGTTTTGTGCCGATCATAAAATACCATCTATATATGTCACCTGTATGGGACTGTTCCGGGACCATATCTTAAGGAACCCACAGTATAACATTGGGAAAGCATTAAATACGGTGATCCTTGACCAGATCAAGATGGAGAGGGAGGGTGATATCATCAACCATGCTACCATCAGGTCTTGCGTCTATATGCTGGAAGCTCTCTATGAAAACGAAGACGAGAATGAAAATGAGAAGATCTATCTAACCAGCTTTGAGGGTACGTACACCTCTGCACTACCCGCCGGTAGCCTGGCCCGCCACTAACCATACCCATAGGCGAGTTCCTTGCAGCATCCGGCGAATTCTACAAACAAGAAGGCGTCCGGCTCCTCCGAGAATGTGATGCCGCAACTTATCTCCGAAAAACGGATAAGCGCCTATCTGAGGAGTATTCCCGTTCCCATGACACCCTTTCCACACTATCTGAGCCCAAGATTCGCGCGGTGGTGGAGCGGGAATTGATCACAAATAATATCAAGGAGGTAATGGATATGGATACCGGCCTACGGTTTATGCTCGATAACGATCGCTTTGAAGATTTAAAGCTCGTTTATAAACTTGTTGCCAGGGTAGATCCAGAGAAGCAGGCGCTCAAGAATATGATGTGTAAGAGGCTAGTAGAGCTGGGAAGAGAGATCAATAAGAATGCCAATCCCTCTACTGCTCTAGCGGTGGCACCGGCAGCAGTACCGGCGGAGAATGGCGACTCGGCAAAGAACTCTGGTGCTGCTGCTGCGAACGAGGACAAGGCTGCAAACAACCTCACAGTGATTGCTATCCGCTGGGTCGACGAGGTTATCGCATTAAAGGATAAATATGAGAAGGTATGGACCAGATCATTTGATGAGGACAAGGGAATTCAAGCGTCAATGACTGGCGCATTCCGGGAGTTCATAAATCTATTCCAAAGGTCTCCGGAGTATATGTCGCTCTTCATAGATGATAATCTGCGGAAGGGCCTGAAGGGCAAGTCGGAAGCAGAGGTAGACGCGGTACTGGACAAGGCAATTACCCTCTTCCGGTACATCAACGATAAGGATGTTTTCGAGAGGTACTACAAGAAACATCTGAGTCGTCGCCTCCTCATGAACCGATCTGTCTCCCAAGATGCCGAAAAGCAGATGATTGGGAAACTGAAGATGGAGGTTGGAGTGGCCTTTACGAACAAATTGGAAGGAATGTTTAAGGATATGAACATCTCTGACGAGATGACCTCAGAGTTCAAGAAGATGCTCCAAAACAAGGAGGGCAGCGATGAGGGCAAGAAAATTGATCTGACGGTCAATGTTTTGACATCGACTTTCTGGCCGATGACGAGTATGGGCGCGGATGGCATGCAGACTTGCTCGTTCCCCAAGGAGCTAGAAGCGCTGAAGGATAGCTTCACAACGTACTATTTGGGGCGGCATAGCGGGAGGAAATTGAGCTGGCAGGCGAATATGGGAAACGCAGACCTGAAAACGTCGTTCAAAGGTGTGAAGAAAGAGCTGAACGTCTCTACATATGCCATGGTGGTATTATTGGCCTTCAACAACATCCCTGCTGGGGAGTCGATATCCTTCGAGGTAACCCCCTCTGTTTTGTTCTCACTTACCTAAAATATACTAACCTCAACTATAGGACCTAACAACCATCACGTCGATTCCCCAAGCCGAGCTGATCCGGACCCTTCAATCCCTTGCTGTCGTCCCCAAAACGCGTATTTTACGCAAAAACCCGGCTACAAAAGACGTCCGCCCTACCGATACCTTCGCAATCAACGAGTTATTTACATCTAAATTCACTCGGATAAAGGTCGGGATGGTATCCGCCAACCGGGCAGAAACGGAGAAGGAGCGAAAAGATACCAGCGAGAAGGTCGACGAGACGCGGGCGCACCAGATTGAGGCAGCCGTGGTAAGGATCATGAAGCAGCGGAAGGTATTGAGCCATGCCGAGCTCGTCAGCGAGGTTATCAGTCAGTTGAAGGGGCGGTTTAATCCCGATGTGGCCATGATTAAGAAGAGGATTGAAAGTCTGATGGAGCGGGAGTATCTGGCGAGAATTGACGGCGAGAGGCATACTTACAAGTATTTGGTACGTTTTCACATTCTTCCTTTGCTGGTTAGCGTGGGCAGGATTGCAATGCTAACAGGGTTTTTCTGGTGATTACAGGCTTAATTTTAGTCTGGTCTTTTCGAGGTTGTGTCCGCTTCGCTTCATGAAGCAAAGAGTATTACTTAAAAACTATCCCAACCAAATGCGTCCGCATCTTTACTTATGCATGTACTTCTCGTTCCGGATATCAAACGCGTGGAGACTCTTTTCTTTCTCTTCTTTCTTTTTTGAACTTCATTGGGGTCCTTGAGACTTGTTTTTTTATTTTATTTCTCATTGGCGGTTCAATTCCTCTGTGTTCTTCATCCTTCGTGTGATTTATTGTTTGTGGGCAGGGCGTTTTGTTAGCGAGATTGAGAGGGTTCGATGCTTGCAGAGGTGAGACTCTGAGATGGAGAGGGTGGAGATCGGGGAGGTGAGACACTGGGGGGGGGGGGGGGAGAGTGTACTATTCTACTACATATTACTACCTTCTCGATCACGATCTCTTCTCGCGAAGCGAAGCGTGCGTGCGTGTATGAGTAAAGCCCGACATATCTACAATGAGGCCTAGACGGTCCATCTGCTATCTTTTCAGCCTTGTTTGCGGTATTAATCTCCTCTTAGCCCCGTAGAGAGGCACCAGTACATGTATACAGTCACAAATAATATGTAGAGTGCGGTCATGAACTATCACTCGTGTTGTAACCTCTACCGGTGCCAGCGGTCCGGCTGAAGATGTGGGGGAGGGGCGCGGGTGCCTAGACTAGCATAGATAGTTATAGCATAACCATCCTATTCTGGATACAGTAACCTTCCCGCGGGGGGGGGGGGGGGAAGGGGGGGGATGGATCCTACTCACAGGAACTGCTTGTGCTGCTGGTGGGGTTTCGAGTCTGGCTTTGGTTATACCCTCTCTGCACTAACTATACACCCACACATACATACACAGTAGGGCGATACGTGACGGTATTATAGACTTCCTTGCTGTTATCCAGCGCTCTCTTCTGCTACGTGTGGTGGTATGGTGTGGGTTGGATCATGGACTATCACTCGGCGCGTTTTACACTACGTGAACTTTTACTGGCACTTGGTTCGGGCGGAGAGCTATGCGTATGTAATGAGGAAAGCTATTTATTTATCACCCATGCCACGCCTAAAGACTAGCTACACCGAATCACAAAAAAGAGAAAAAGCCAAACCGCAAAAAAAAAAAAACGGACAAAGAAGAGTAGAGGCCCAACTAAGCAGCAGCACTACCCAAGCCCCCGGGCCCCCTCCTCGGATATAAACCCCCCCCCCCCCCACGACGCCTATCCATTACCCCCTCCCCCCCTTCTCCGCCCTCCCACGCACTACTCCAAATCCCTCCCCCAAATCAACGCCACCTTCCTCCGATAGCCCTCGCGGCACTTCTTCTTCTTCCCCACCTTCCCCAACCCCTCAATCCCCCTCGCCACCATCACCGCCTCGGCCCTCTCGTCCCCGCCCCTCGTCCTCACCTTCAGCACCACCACCGCGCCCTCATCATACGCGAAGAACCGCAGCCGCTCCACATCGCCCACGATCCCCGCGGGATACACATCGCCGACAACACCCGCCACGGCGCCGCAGTAGCGCGCCCAGTACGCAAACTCGGGGCCGACGAGGTCCTCTAGCTGTGTTTTGAGGTTAGAGTCGCTGACCTCGCCGCCCCAGCGCTCGCAGAGCGCCAGTGCGAGGAGGGCCCGCGTCTCGTGGGTTAGACCGTGGGCAGAGGCGAGGATGCCGGTTGTGGTTGCGTGCAGCCCGCAGGAGGGGCGTGATTCTTTGGGGATGTTGGAGTGGTAGATGAGCATATTCGCCAACGCGGGTACGATTTCTGAACGGAAGATATACGGCGTCGACCGCGGGAGGGCGTAGTTGAGGAGCTCACGGATCTTGGCTGTGTCGCGGGGCGCATGTGCGGATGTTGCGACGACGAGGGGGTCCTGGGCGCGGGTTGCGGTGTCGAGGCGTTCGTAGAGAGCGCCCTCGCGCACGCCGCCTTGGCAGAAGATGACGGTCTTGATGGTGGGGAGGGTCTCGACGAGGGCGGAGATGAGGAATGCGACGGCGGGGACCTGGCGCGCGCGGCGGTCCGAGATGCGGAATTTGTCGTCGAGACGCCGGGTGGTTTCGGAGCTGAGGTGGAAGTCGGCGAGGTCGGAGAAGGCGCTGCCGGGGGCCTTGAAGCCGTTGATGATGGGGACTGGGTATGGCTGGATCGGGTGCTGGTCGAGCAGGAGGAAGCCGAAACCGCGGAAACCCCCGCCGGAGAGGTAGAGTGTGTAGCCGCCGTCGTCGGCGGCGTAGTCGGAGAGCTCCGGCGGGATGTCGAGGCCGGTGATGGCGGTCGCAACGCGGGACTTGATCTCGTCCTTCAGCTGGGCTATCGCCTCGTCGTTGATCGCCGTCTCGCGGCGCTTCGTGAGTGCTGCCGCACCGTACGGCAGCGAGACCGCCGCAGGCGGCATGCGTGTCTTGCCGCCCTTCGACACCATCCACGTGAGCTGTGTGCTGCCCCCGCCGAGATCCATCACGAGGCCGCTGACCTCATTGAAAGAGCTTGCGACGCCCTCGGCGCCGATGCGGCCCTCGTCCTCCTTTGTGAGCAGCTCGACGGTCCAGCCCGTGGCGGCGTGGATGCGGTCGCGGAAGTCCTGCGAGTTTTGGGCCTCGCGCGTGGCCTCGGTGGCGACGACGCGGATGTTGGCTGGCGGGACGTTGAAGTCGGCGCAGACGGTTGCGAAACGGCGCATGGAGACCAGGATGGCGGAGATGACGTCTTCGCTGATGGGGGATTTTGTGGTGCCGGTGAATTGGGCGTCGTAGAGGGAGATGGGGGCGCGGTCTTGGAAGATTGTGGGCATGATGCGTGCGGTGGAGGGGTGTAGGGAGGAGATGGAGAAGCGGACGCCATTGCTGTAGGGGTGCGGGGGGAGTTAGATGTAGCTGTAGCTGTAGGATGGGGGGGGGGGGGGGAGCTTGGGGGGGGAGCTGAGAGCTTACCTTCCAATGTCCACTAATCCCCTTAGGAACGAATTGTCGGTGGTGGTATCAGCTTGCACCATGGCTGTTATTTTTGGGAGGAGTAAGAGCTTCCAGAGGAAGTAGAGGGACGCAATCGTGGCGGTGATGTATCTGTTATATAGAGCAGAGCAGCTTTCTGTCTGTCTCTAGTGGTGATGTCAAGATGTCTCGGAGCAAGTTGTATGTAGGGATGTGATGGATGGATGGATGGTGGATGGATGGTGGATGGATGGATGGATGGATGGTGGATGGATGTGGATGGATGGATGGAGATTGTTCGTTTCCTTGGACAGATAGCAAGCGGGGCCCTGTGACATGACGCGGGGCAGCACAGCACAGCACAGCACACAAACCAGACGAGACGACAGATGACTAAGCCCCGAAAACTGGATTTGAGGAGTGTCGAGTCTGCTGCCCATGAGCTGGGTGCTGCGTCGTATCCTAAGGAGCGAAATTAGAGCTATCGATACCAGCACCCCCCTTCTTATCAGACTGCACACAGATCCATGTCATCCATCCTACAAGTATACAAACTCCATCCCATCCCCCAAAGGTTGTAGTTCCCAAAAGTGCTGTCTTATCCAATGCAGCGGGGTCAGCAACACATGACGTGGTCTTGGCAATCAGGGTCCAACAACCGGGTTCTAAACTAAACTGCACTAGCCCCCGCCGCTTGGGGGACGTTTTTTTCTTGGCGCTGGTCGCGTGACTGGCCTGCTTCTTGCTATCTGTCGATCAATTGTAGACTTTGATATCCCTTCGTCTGGCAAAAAATGCTGACCCCCCCCCCAAAAAAAAAAAGTTGTGTGGCTTTACTAACAGATCTTGTTATCTCTCCTATCAAATAATAGATTTCCCATACAAATTTAATAGGGGGGGTCAGCATTGCCAGACTAAGGGATACGTGGGATGTTTCTTCAATTAATTAAACAATTGTGATTGTGGTAGCGATTGGTGCTGTGGCATGTAGTGAAAACAATGAGCAAGAATCTTGAATACGCAATCATTGACACTCGTACATACACTAACATACTACATACTAGTCCAACTGCCAAACACCTGCCAGAAAGCCGCTCAAGGTTTGCTATATATATATATATATTTCCGAACCGAAAAATGCTAAAGCACACCTCTATCACTCACTAATACCACAGATCACAGCTACACCACACAATCCACAAAAACAAAACTCCATTAAGCCACCACAATTTAAATGCTACTACTACAATACATGGCCCAGACCCTCTCCCCCCCTCTCCCCCGGGCTAAAGGCTGAAATCAAACTCCTTAAACGCCTCCTTGAACCTCTCGGCATCACCCTTCTCCTCCTCCAAGCTCAGCACACAGTCCTTCCAGTGCACCGTCTGCAGCCCCAGCACCTTCGCCAGCACTCTCCGCCCTACACACACCTCCGTTAGCACACCCCAGAACCAAAAGAGAAAGAGAAAAAACCCACCAAACTGCAAATCAAAATACTCCCCCCCCCTCAACGGCAGCACCAACGCCCCCCCCTCCCCCCTCCCCCCCACCCACACCCTAAAATACTCCTCGCCCTCGCTCACCTCCCGCCTCTCCAACGCCGCCAACCCATCCCTCTCCGCCTCCCCTCTAAACGCCTCCTCCACCACCTCCATCTTATCACTCGGCACGGGCACAACCTGCCAATGCGCATGCACGCCTCCCGCACGCGCAATCTCGAACGTAACGGTGCCGAACCCGCGCGGCTCGAGCATGGCGCTGATGGCGTCCTTGTAGCGCGTCATCTCTGCGGCCGTGCTGGCGCGCGCCTCGCCGTCGTCGATGAGCGCGAGCGTGGGCGTGTGTGTGAGCGGGATGATGAGGATGTGCGCTGCGAAGGGGAGCGTGGCGGAGGCCTTTGTGAGCGGCCCCTTGGCGGTGGTGAGGTAGGCGTCGTTGCCGATGGAGACGATGAGGTGCTTTTCGAGCTTGGGGTAGGAGAGGCAGAAGAAGCAGTTTTCGGCTGTTGGGTTGATCCCTGGGTGTTAGTCTTGAGGGTTCTGATTTTTGTTTTATGGGACAGAGGAAACACATACGTCCAGGTGGGGGTTTCGGCGCCCTCGGCCCGCCCTTCCCCCGCTTTCCGCCCCGGTCATCGCGGATATGCTCGCCCCAGAAGAAGGAGCCGCCGCCGTCCGCCTGCCCCGCCGTCCGCTTCTTGGTCTTCTCCCTATACGGGCTCGGCGTCGCGTTCGGCGGCACAGCGACATTCGTATCCTGCGGCGTGATGCTGAACGCATACAAGCTCTTCGCCTTGGCCTCATTCCCCCAATCGCCCACGCCCAGGAACCGCGTCACCCGCGCCCCCTCCCCCTTCGCATCGCTGTCCCGCACCACGTTCCTGTACGGCTCCCGCTCCCAGAACGCCGCGCCCGCCGCCGCGAAGTGGTACCGCGGGCGGATCATCATTGCGAGCTCCGCAATCGACGGGCTACCACTACTACCACCACCGCCAAGCGCAGGGGGCAGAGGCACTGCGCTGCCACGCTCAACATCCGCCGGCCAGTCGTACGTCAGCAGCAGGTCGGCGCTGTTGCAGCCCTTGAGCGTCCTCGCATCCAGCGGGGAGTAATACGGTAGATCCGCCGCCTCACCCGCGTCCGCCTCCGGCTTCGCGGCGGTCTGGATGTTACTGTCGAGGCGGCCTCCGAGCGCGACGATGCGCACGCCCTCGGAGGTGTTGAGGACGGTCTTCTTTCCGAGGAAGAAGAGGTTCTCGCAGACCTCGCCGGCGGAGGATGCGATCTTCTCGCGCACGCTGGGCGGCAGCGAGTGTCGCCCGAGCCCAAAGTACGTGGGTAGGGGAACCTTGATCTCGCCGCGGAGGAGCTTTTGGATGTTTTCGGTGTCGCTGGGGGTGTCGGTGGTGCCGGGGGCGGCGAAGAGGTCGCCGAGGAGGAGGGCGAGGGAGAAGTTGTTTTTTGTGTGTAGGGCGGTGGCTTTTGTGAATGCTTCGATGAAGCTGCCGTTTGTGGCTCCGATGACGAGGCTGTGGAGAGAGTCAGTGGAGGGGGGGGGCGAGGGGATCTTGAGAGGATTGAGGGAGGTGGGAGGGGAGGGGAGGGAGGGAGGGGAGGGAGGGAATGCGTACATTTTGGCAGCCATTGTGGGCGTGGAGGGATCCAGAGACGTGAGGATCGAGGAGTTGAGGTTGCGTCGTTGAGGGTCGGTCTTTGGGCTTCAATTTGCAGGAAAACGCGACGTTGACGACGGTTGCACGCGCCAAGGGTTTGCGTCATGGATTCTCGTTCGGGTGCCTGCCAAGAAAACATGGGTTTGTTGTGGAGGCTTTCCAGAAAGTGATGTCGACTGCAACATGCGAGTTTCGCTTTACACTGATTATATTCTCCATAACGTACTGCCGTAAAATCCCGCGAAATATTAATACCAAGGAGTATTTCCCTTAAGGCTAGTCAGATTGGCCTTGAGCCTTCAATCCCCTTAGCCAAGAGCGTAACTCGACCACTGATCGATAGTGCAGCTCCACCTCCAATATATCTTCGCTGTCTCCAAATCATGCAGCAAGCACACGCACGCAACCACGTAGCAGCTTTCTAGAAGTTCCGGCGTATGCCCTCAATTAATATGCTAGCATGCATCCCCAACCCGTGTATTGATGCCCGCGTATTTTTGGTGATTTCAATGCCGTTATTTCTCCTCAACCGCTGCTGATATCGACAGAATATTAGCTGTTGTATTCAACAATCCTCACCAGATGGGGCCAAAACATCGAGTGATATCTGATGATCGGCCTAGCTGTTATAGACGGTATGTCTGACGTAGAGTACGTAGTCGTCTCGATCAGTGTAGGAAGACTCAATAGGTAGCAGGATGGATGATCGACCCTATTACGAAGTAGGATGAAAGTAGATCTATATACTTGTGCATAGAGAAGTGACATATCTACCTGTGTAAGTACATGTAAGCTAGACTGTGGGCACCGCTACTAAAATATATGAAGGGGAGTTTATTGACAGAACTAATGTATGTAGCTTGCGCACGCACCGGCAACATCTTGGATAGGTTCCGGCTTTGACATTCCTAACTGGTTTCTAGAACAGATGTATGTAGAGGACATACATGTATACGATATTACCTTACGGAATATAGATTTTGATTCCGATATCGTACTGTACTCCTAAGAGCTTCTATGACGGGATCTCCAGTGCCCCCAATAGAAGGCCCCATAACCCTCATCACAACCACTCACTCGTCATCCTTCTATTACTTCTCACACCCTATTCAAACCCAGCGGTAAAAATACCAGCCCTTCAAAGCAATATTAAATCCTTCAATTCCCCCACTCCCACCCCTTCTAGCCAAGAATAGTATCCAGAAATACTCGCCATGGAGCATAAAATACCCTCATCCACACTCACACCCATCACCAGCACCCCACAACCCCCCGAAAACACAAACACTGCAACAAACCACACTTTCCACAATGGGTCTCCTCGACAGCATCTTCAAAACCAAGGCCGTCCGCGAAGACAAGCGCTCATCCCGACTAATCAAGCAGGACAATAAAGCGCAGGCCCGCACATCAAGCTCGACGCTGTGTCAGACGTGTGGTAAGCACTTTGTTCTCAACGCGAAGATGTGCCAGGGATGTATGTATACCACCGACCCGCCGTGGATGGCCTAGCTAGACCTCTTTGCTGATAGGGGATGTAGGTGAAACGTGGTCCAAAGTTCCGCAGAAACCTTACTGATTAAAATAGGGATGTGAGGGTCGGGGGGCGGGGGGGCGTGTTTAGTACATCCCTCGACCTTATTGGCGGGATTAGATTTTTTTTTTTAAAAAAGGTTGTTTATTGAGTTTAGGTTATTTTCTTTTCTTTCGTTTTCGGTTGGTCTGGGCTCTGTTCTTCCTTGGACATGGACGCAGTGCGAAAACTTCAGCTGGCTGGACCCACTTGGAGTGCTGTTCTTTTTATTAGCGAATTGTACATATATAATAAATTTGCATTAACTTGAAGACTTACTGTAGGAAGGCTTTATATGTGCTTTTATATTGCGATTTTGGTTAATGTAAGTAACAACGTTTATTTGACTTCCATAGATATAGAATTTTCCTAGATGTTGACAGGGGGTGTGTTTGTGAATTGCTAGTTTCGTATACATAGAAGCATTCTCTTAGAGAAGTTGAGCTCTGGCCATTGAAGGAATCGAAACCAAGTCCTCGCCCATTCCATGGGGCTATATGTACTTCACGCTCAGTCATGAAGCACTGGCAACTTGAAGCCCCGGTATCGTGGTGTAGTGAAAATATGTGGGGCAATCAAGCACACCCGCCGAGAACATCTTGTTAAACGTCGCTAGATCTGAAGATCCAAGAAAACTTTGAAACAGGCAACTGCGAGCGAGAAGGATTCCCAAGCTGTATCCCCCGCCTCTTGTGAAGGCAAGAGCAGTAGCTATCCTTTACCTGGTGAGACTTGCAGATTCGGGATGCAGATTTATACTGTGGCCCAGTGACTTTGCCATAAGATTTACGTATGGCTGAGCAAAGACACTGGGACACTGTCTAAACCTGCCTAGCTTGGAGGATCCTGAATCTGCAAGGCCAAGAGGTAATGGTAGGGTGCTTAGGTTGACGGGGATTCTCCATAAATCTTGGCTATAGTTGTGGGACCTAGTACATTGCTGACACTCCGCCAAGCGTTTGGCTGACTATAAGAGGCGGAAGCGGGGTTGGTTGCATATGCAAAGAGAGAAATGTGGCGTGGTGATTATGAGGGAGGGTCGGTTCCTGAGTCCTGACTCGAGGTTAGGCACGGGAGGAACTCGTAAATTCACATGTGGCTTACTGCATGACCTGCAACCTATATGACCGTTCGTACCTATCAGTAATATTATAGTTGCGGATAGTCAAACTTCTTTGCTTACTCTCACCCCCTTGTGTGCGTTGGTAATGTAGGGGAAAACTGTGCCTACATACCTCACACAGTCCTAGGCCACGGGCGAGAAGATCAAACAAACCTCCTGCTTCGCTGGAGAGCTCTGGGTTATTTTTTGTATTTTGACGAAATACTGAATGCTCCCTGGGTATAACACTGGTAGTTTCGTCGGCCGTCGTATATTGGAAAGTTGAGGCGAGAGAGCTGCGGTGGTGAGTGAGAGCTCATGAAGAAGAAGAATATGCTGACCGGTAAGGCTGCTTTCGCAAACAAGCCTTGGCCAGTCGTCACAGCTCGGGATGATAATTTGAGTATGTAGTACTGCGGCTCTGGCGGTTCTTGTGTTACAGCAAGTAAGTATTGGTGATGTAGCGTGAGGACAAGTATCAGTCTCAGTCGCAATGGAACCAAGGGGAGGCCAGATGATGAATTAAGCCGACCAATTTTGGGTATTGAAATTCCTCGGCAGATGTAAATCCAACTAAATACATGTATGCACAGATCAGAAGAATTGGAAAGAGCTTACCGAACCATTATTCTCGTTTCTTAGTACCTTTAAGGATGAATTATCGAGCCGCAGTACCGTACCACACTTGCACAAATAGTATTGAGCGTGACAAAGTGGCAATCTCCTGTCCCACTAGATAATGACCACCGCCCACAGCAAACCGAGCCAGCCTTCCTCAGCTGCAGTCAAGCTTCGATCCCAAGAAACATGTACCTGTCAATTGCTGCCCAATTGATCACCAAGGCTTTCTTTATTCGCTGACAGCCATTTAGACTGTAACCACACTAACGCATTATGGCTTAGCTCACCACCTTGTCTTGGCAGGTGTCTTCGCAGCCAATTCATTCCCTTACCCGCCCCCCCAACATCGCTTTTCCTTTCTGTGTGAGTGAGAAGGAAAGTTCAGTGCAGTGGGAGCTCTCTATCTGGATAAGCTCTGCTGGAGGTGTCCCCCAACGACGACGCGAGATATTCATCGTACACACCCACTCTCCCTACATACACATTTACGACCCTGCACGAACGATACGGAAAAAGGAAACATCTCATCACCATCTTACACGCACCTACAGTACAGCACCCAGCAAGTCAAGTCATCCACTCATCCAGACAGACAGCAAACGGTCCACCCATCCTCATCCTGGCACCCACCGTTCTATAGATCTACACGACGTACCGAAAGATCTCACCGTTCACCCCCCCCGCCCCCGACCGTCAGTGCCTCGAGCTCTACAACCTGCCAGACACTAAACCATACCTTAACGCGCGCGCCGTATAGAATCTCACGACCCAGCAGCAGTCTACGTCCCTCCCCCCGCGTGTTCGACCACCCAGCGCCAAAAATCTCCCCTCGTCGCGCGCAGGCGGAGCAGTCGTAGCAGCACCGTTCTAGCAGCACCACCACCACCACCACCACCACCACCATGCCTCAAGCCATGACTCCCACAGAGGAGGTCGCTAAAGCGCCCACCAAACCTAACACGACACTCGAGATCCGCGCGCCGCCACTGCCGCACATCACGATGGGGTTTGTGCCTCTGTCGTTACTCATCAATCGTCTGGTGCAGAACTCACACAACAAGCTCGTGGAGCTAATCGACTCGCTACAGGGCTCGGGGCAGAGCGACGGGGAGAAGAAGTTGCGCATCATTGAGCATATGCAGGAGACGCGGAAACAGTTCATCAAGGTGCTGGTGCTGGTTACGTGGGCTAAGAATGCGTCGGCCGTGAGCGAGGTGATCGATTTGAAGGTGTATCTGGATAGCAGGCAGGATGTCTTTCACAAGGTGGTGTGGAACCTGTACGAGGTGCGCAGGAAGATGAGTTATGCGAGGTACTACTATTCCCCCAGTACACTATGTGGCCTGGCCTTGTGGGCTGCCGGAGGTGACGTGGGGGTTATGTACTAAATTGCTACAGAGTCCCGAATCCCGACCTTGATACCGCGGTTCAGGTGCTGTCTACGGGGGTGGCCACAAATTCCATGACTCGCCGCTATGTACCGCCGCCTCCGCTCAGTTCTACGGAGATTCTTAAGACGCTATCCAATATCAATACGCTCCTTGCACTCCGATTTTCGCTGCACTCACCACCGCCCCCGTATTTCAAAGACTACACAATATCCTCTGGCCGCGCTACGTTTAAGGTCGAACATGAATTTGAGGTCGACATGTCTATCGGCGACGAAGACCCTACGTCGCAGCTATACCTAATCGACTTCCGACTGGCCTTCGAGCCGGCTGCCGGGGCGCCTTTCCCAGAAAACCTCAAGAACGAGATTGAAGGTCGCGGTAACACGGTACTGAAATCGAAGGGCCTTGAGGGTATCCATGACTTCCTGCACGACTTCTGTCTCACGCACAAGATCAACATCTTGATGCGACAAGCTCATGAAATGCTCCAAGGGCGCTGGACAGAAAACCTCCGAATCCAGCAGATCAAGCGTACCCTCGTGATCCAGTACTGGACTAACCGTGCTGGTGAGGGCAAGTCATGGATCGAGGTCGGTGTCAAGCGCGGTGTCGCGGGAAAGCCAAGTAGGCTAGGTGTGCGGTGGATGAGGGAGGGTAAGGAGGTGAAAGACGTCGAGGTCCCGCTGAACATCGCGGTACTCTCCGCAGAGGAGCTACTCAAGACTGTAATAGCACTGCATACAAAGTGGATATTGACAGGAATACGGGATCGCTTTTCACCGCTTCCACTCTTTCCGCCGTCATCCATGCAGCTGAACACACACCCTACGGACTCATTTAACAGCTTCTTGAAGCTGCGGCTGACGCCATCTCGGGCAATCAAGGTGCTCATAGAGCCTATTACTGGACGCTTTGCGCTACAGAAGCCTGGGTTACTAGCATCGAGCGTAGAGGGGAGAATCAACCAACAGCCTGGGCAGATTGCGGAGTTGCTGAAGTTGAAATTCTTGGTACTGCAGGAGGAGATTGAGAGCAGGGCGCGATCGATGGGATGGGAGATATTGAAGATGGTTGTCGTCAGGAAGGAGGAGTTCAAAACATTCTTTCCACCCACAACTCGCTACATGACATTTATGCGTCGGCAAGGCTGGAGTAAAGAATGGGTTATTACGATAGGTCTCGGCGATACCGGGGAATGCTTCTATGTCAGCAGGATGTAAGTATCATTACCCATGAGTGACACCTCATGAAGCAACTTCATACTAACAAGTAAACCTACAGTCACGAAGCACCCCAGCAATGGACCGTCTCCCTCAACATCCCTATACCCGTGAATGGTGCTTTAGACGTGACCTATGGCTTCCTCGCCAACCTCGAGAAGATTTCCGCCTCAATCATTACCCTGCACACCATTACGGAAGACCTTACCTCCCGCTCCGTCCAACATCAACTCAAACCTTCAAAGACAGCAGATACAAAGCTCATCATCCCTGACCTTTATATCCGCTTCTCTTCCCTTATTCCGCGTGCAAATTGGGGCATTGATGCTCTGCGTGTGACCTTCCAATCTCTCTCCGACTCCGGTGCCTGCACACTCACGGTCTGTGGCCGCACCGCCGAGGCAATGACGCACCTTGGCGTCGTAGGAAAGGACATCGCATCAGCCGACTCTGATGTCTCCTTCCACCCGCAGACTGGGAGCTACGCAATCCGCTTTATAGTCCCAGTTGGCGAGTCGATCATTGACCCCCTGATCGAAAAGCTCTCCCGCATTGAGACGCTCATCAAGTTTGTGGCAGTTATACGCCGATTCCAGCTGCCGTGCTTGCATGTGAGCCTTGGCCGGATAGGCTTCAAGTACTCGAATGATGCGCACAGCACAGCGGAAGTGT